GATTTCAAACGAGGTCCATAAAATCTCTTAAAAATTTATACGCTCTAAACATTCTTCGCCTCAAACTTGAAAACACATTTCGTTGTACATCTAGTTGTTCCTCGTACTACATAGTTTTCTGCTCCACCTCGCCGACGACCCTCACCCGTTAAAAGATACTTTTCCACCTCGTTAACATTCACGGTTTTATTCTATTTCTGAACACTTTCGGTATTTCTTTTGACGAGGGGCGAGAGTTGTAGAGTATCCATCGCTTGCTTGCCTTCCACTACACAAAGGAACGGAAAGAGCTTCTTTGTTATCAGAGATATTGAATAGCAGAGGACGAAGAAGCCGTATCGATTCCACGTCTTAGTCAACGTTGATCCTTCTTTCCTTTTGAAATATTGGTATTGATATTCTGTATTGTTACCCGATTCTAAACTTGATGGTGCGTAACTGATACCAGTTCCTTTGCATGCTAAATTTGCTTTCGAAATATTTTTCTGTAGTGTCTGCATTGTTGTAACGTTTGATACAAAAAAATAAAATTTCCCCAAAAATTGTTTTCTCAACAAGTCTCGCGAAATTTCGTCGGGATATCACTTTATTATTGTGGTATTACAGATTATCATATCTTTATACGTGGATAATCTTGTGGCACAAAGGAATTTTTCACCCGGATTTGTATGCACATGTGCCATTCTGTAATTATACTGACAAATTGCATGTATTGTGAAAGCTGATATAAACCGCCGACAATGTCATTAGGTATTGAATAATATTTACAATTTGTATAAAAATATTTCCAAATATTGAGTACGATTATTTCTGCATTTATTTATGCGCTTTCGTAAAGGGACACAAACAAATAAGTAAATCGAGGAACAAACAAAAAAACAAGGCTAAAGCCTTTCATAGTTTCATACATATTTTATATCCTCACGCTTCTTTTCTAGTGCTCCATAGACAGAAATCTCGGGAAACTTGACTTTCTCATTCCCTAATCTGTTCTTGTTGGTATTGTTTTCACCAGAGAAATGAGTAAAAGTGAGTGCAGTGCAGCAGATCAGGAGAGCGGTAAAACAAGTCCACTGCAGTAGATAATTCAACTGAGGAAAGAAAGCTCTCAACCAAATTTCAGCCCATTGCTGCTTGCACATTCCGTTATGTTGATGTTGCAAAATTCGGCAGTAAAAACAAAAGGCTTTCGTTTCGTTCCACTTCAGATTACACAATGTGAATACCAAATAAGAGCTTTGATAAAAAGCTGAATGGTAGCAGGGCCAGGCTAATGTTGGTGGACGCTCGACTCCCGGTTTCCTGACTCAACGAGCAGCATTTTGTTCTGTTTCCTTAGTTCGGTAGTTCCAAACCATCTCCGGTATAAATCAAGAGGGCTGAAAGCGTTCAAACCTCCTGTCCGAATTGTGTATATCGCATTGTATTTCTCCATGGGATTCCGATCCAACAGCAGCTAATACTCAGCGGCTTTTGACGGTGGAAGGAAAGAGGAAGTAAAAGCAATATGAAATGAAGCCAACGCTGGATCTTTGAGTATCTACAACTGATGATAATGCTCCTGATGAAACAGATCCGACGCTGCACACCATGAGGCAAGGGCTACTACCTAATAATAATAATAACTATGGATTCTTGTTGTGCACAGTCAAATGCAGGAAATACATATTGAATGGCACTGTGTATTAGTCATAAATACATACATACTTCTACACATAAAAGTTATTTATAAGTTATCCATATGTATTTGGATATCTTATACTTAGCGCTAGGTTGATGCTATCTGTAACAAAGGAGAATCCTCCCGAGCTCTCGAGCAGTAGAAACGGAATATACGATGTCAACGGTGCTGCTAGATACATACGTACACTCCCTCTCATTCTTTTCTCACCACAAAATAGTGACAGTTCACGAGCACCTCTTTATCAAGATGGGTTATGTGTGTGGGCTGTTGCTGACAGAAGTAGTGTTGTTATGCGGTAAGTAAAAAGCAGTACTTTTTGCACCATTAGAATTAGAAGGGAGAGAAGGGCGAAAAAGACTGCAAACAAGAGGCAGGCAATGCAAAAGCAAGTAAGTGGATGGAGCACAGCTTTCGGAGACGGAAATTGCGGCCGGAGGCTCAAGTCTAACCAACAACCATGGTAGGAGCAATATATGCAGCCATATCCCACTTATCCGGTTGATACAGTTGATCCCACCAACAATCCACTTGGAGATAATGATGAATAGCGAAAGCTCTGAATGAACACCCCAGCCCGCTTTCTGCATCCATCTCCATTTTCTTTTCCTTTTTTGGTTAGCCTCACTCACTCAGCTTGATCTGTGCTGGCTGGCTGGGTGGCTGGCTGGCAGGGAGTGTATAAGCACATCGAGCTGATGATGAGGTGGTATGCTTGACAGAGAAAGGCACGTCTCCCATCACTTTCCTTTCTCACTCACCCTTGTTACGCCGCACATAATATTAAATTTGAGCGAAAGTGAGTGAAGTGAACCCACGAAACCTAACCAGCGGAGGGAATATAATATATCAACGTTCCTTCTCTCCCCACCAACTCTGTGTTTCCAGTTTCCGTGTGAGAAAATGCAAAAGAATTGGAGGATGTTCTCCTCTCGAGATGGATTGGAATAGATTCCCACACTGCATATATGCATTTAGCAGTGCCACGCCACGTCCTCCCTGCCCTGCTGGGACACAGCTCGATCAAAAGTGTGGAGGAGAGAAAAATGTGAGTGAAGTTGTGTGTGAGTGAGCTTTGACTTTCAGTTGAGCAAACTGGGATTTGGGGAGATGCACGACTTAGCAAACATTATGACTACATATTACTTTCACTGCATTCTTTTGAATATTTTAAACCAAGATGAATCGAGGAGTCGGTGGAATTTAGAGCATGTGAGTTGGATGTGAATTCAACCATGATCCTCCTAGAATTATCGCTGCTTAAATCCGAACATTTGTATCAATATTTATTCATTAACACAAGGTAACAATTCCGAGTCAAAGTTAATGTTGAAATTCTAAATATTTAAAAACTAAAAAAAACAATACTCCGCCTAAAAAATTACGCCGCCTTTTTAATCTCTTTCCCCATCTTGAACTTGGGTACTTGCTGGAGCAAAGAATCCACCGGCAATTCCTGTTCCTCGTCCCCCTCAAAGGCAAAGTAATTTAACTTTGCTTTAGCAAGACGGCACGCATCCTTTTCGTCCTCAGAAGAGACTGGTTCGGGGCGTGTGTTCATGAATTGGACTCTCATTCCATCGAAGAGTTCCTTGTTTCGTTCCATCCCAAATTTCTGTAGAAAATATTGTACCAATAATTAGTAATTGGCAATAATAAATACAATTGCTTCAAGCAAGACTCACTATTCCAAATCCCTCCAGTCTGTGGGCGTACGAGTCAGACTCGGTGATGGCATCCTTCAAAATGTCTCCAGCCAAGGTCTTCAAGTTGGCGAGGTTTCAGTTGAAAATATTCAACTCAAAACAACGCCAGCCGTCGTCCAACATCTTCCAGACGGTGGAGGAGGGGGAGCTTGGGTGGTAGGTCGCAGAGCGTTGACCGTTGGAGAAGTATCCCCAGTACAGCCGCATGGTGAAGGCGGGATCATTCTTGTTGGCGACGACGTGGGTCTCAATTTGTATTGGGGTCAGCTTCTCAATCCCGTCCCAGTAGAATCCTCCAACCCAGTAGTTGCAGTAGGATTTTTTCTGAAGAAATGCTTCAGAGACCAGGACAGAGTACTTAGAATCCAAGAGTTCAACGGTGGAAAGAGATGCGAGGTAGTTCGTAAAGTTGCTGCAGCAAAAACAAATTAAATTAGTTGTCATTATTGCTCGTTGACCCGTCTAACAATTAAACTTACACTTGCTTTATCTGGGCATAAGCTGGAAGTTGGAGCCAGTGGTTCAGGGTGGACCGATCAATTCGGAGAATTGCTCTAGCAAATAAAAGACAATAATTTAGTTCATTTTGAAAGGAGAATTAATTGCTTTAGTAAAATGACCAATTACATGCGACGCAGCTCTGCCAACTCTTCTCCGGAGAGGGCTTCTCGACGTGCCTTCCTCAGTTGATAATTTTTTTTGCTAAAAGATAAATGTAAACAAAGATTTGCGTAAAATGATACACTTAATTGACAAGGTTAAAAACAATTTTACTTGTAATCAGCATCTAATTTCAATTGACTTTTTCGATATGCAACATTTGCAGCTCTTGCTTTGTCCCTATGAAATCCAAAATGCAAATTTTCATTAGAACAGTAAACAACGTGTATGAATTTCTGAGTATTAAGTATTGATACCTGAACTCTTTCTCGTTTTCGTCTAACTGCTTCTTTTGATAGGCATCCGTACTTTTCCTTTGTTTATTCCTATAAAAGGAAAAATGCAAATTTTTTTAGAAATATAAATTAAATATGTCATCATTTCTTAAATAAAATTAATATTTATACCTGAATTCCGTCTCATTCTCCTCTAATTGTTTTTGACGATAGGCAGCTGTTCTTTTCCTGTCTTTTTCCCTAAACAAATATTTAGTTATTTACGAACGATTATTTATAACATCTTATAACACGTACTTGACAATAGGATCTTTCCGTCGTCGGCGTTGGGACACTGCTTTCTGTTGTCTTTGTCGGTCTCTATACCACAATTCAGTTTCTTTAGAAAGCATCAAATATTTTTGATTAACATCATTTCTGCTTACTTTTTCTGCTCAGCGGTCATTCCTTTACGGCTGACATAGCGTTTTTTCTCCTTCTTTGCTGGAGCAATCTCTTCCTCATCGTCACTCACTAAAGAGAAATATACAACATCACAATTTGTTACATTAATTCATACTTTCTAATTTTAACTAACCAGCCGACTCAGATTCTGCAGCGATCTGCCCCTCCTCTGCGGGGGGTGGTGTGAACAAGGGGTCGTCACATTTTCGTCCAAGGTAGACGAAAGACGGTTCGATTCCATATTGCTCCAGCAAATCTTCATCCGAGAGGACCTTGCTTTCCGCAACAACAGCTTCATCATCAGCAGACGAGGTCTTCCTTCGCAGTGACCGGAAGTAGTTTTCCTCCTCATCCTCTTCCTCGGAGTGCGATTTCGGAGAGAGATTTCTGCAGAAAGAACAACTAAATTAGCACGTAAAAGTAAAGATTTGCTTGAGCAAAGACGCCACAAAAGTACCAATCACTTCAGACTAGAAGAGGTGCCCGGTTGTTCACCGTCGTCAAGCTCAACGACACGCTGCCAGAGATCCAAATCCGCCTCAACCTGGCCACCATCACTACCACCACTAAATAGATAAATTAATTATTAAATTATAACATTGCTAGAGCAAAGATAACAACAAGTACCACTCACCTAAAATTGGGCAAAGGACGCAGTTCTTCACGCAGAGGAACCCGTCCCACCTCCAATTCCACCCGATCATCGCCATCGTCGCCATCACCACTGCCAAATACATGTATATATTTAACATAATTGCTGCAGCAAATAGTTGAAGAAGAAAACTTACCTCATGATTATAAATCAAGTCGCAGAACTTATTAAAAGTTACAAATTTTGTCGTAATATAAATTTTAATGAATGTAAATGATGTGGGTGTGATTTGAGGATGGAAGATTTTGTGATGATGATGGCGTGGTTTTGAGAAGGACAGACTTTTTAGGAAATTAAGAGTTCTCGGACAGCTTGTTAAGTTAATTTTGCTCAATGTGTTTTACTTCAGTTTAAAAAAAAAAAAAAAAACAAGCCTTGTCATACATAAAAATGGTTAGAACTTAAAATGAATTGGGCTGATGTGGCTCGTAAGGTAAGCTTGAGAAGAGTGGCCAAGAATATTGGTTGAGCATTGGTTAAATTACATTTTGAAGGTTAATTGAATTAGGATAATTTGATAAGAAGTAAGGAGACACATTATGTTATCATATCGGTATTTTGTCCTTTCATACAATTAGAAAAGGTAAAATTGAGAAGTACATATTAAGTAAGATAAAATATTTGTATAATTGAGACGGCGACATGTACATCAGGTCAAAGAATCAAGAAAAGACTGAACTTGAGAATAAGATTACAAATGGTTATAAAATCTCGTAATGTCCTTGGATGCAAACGAATTGGGTGGACAGTAAATGTAAAATAATAACTTATGAAACCGATCATTCCCCGGACCTTGAAGTGGCACCATTTCAACACTAAGAGTCATTATTTGAATCTTCACCTTGAACTGGCAGTAAACACAATTTCACAATTGGTCGTTTTAAAGTTCCATCCTTGGTTTTTAGTGTAACAATTCTGGTGTGACCATCGGTTCCTGGATGCAATTCGACTACACGTCCTAGGCGCCAGCGCATGGGGGGCATATTTTCGTCCTTGATTGTGACTAAATCTCCAATTGCAATGTCTTTGTGTTCTTTCATCCACTTGGGGCGTTGTTGAAGGCGAGTGAGGTACTCGGATGACCACCTCCGCCAGAATGACTGGTACAATTGTTGGATGAGTTGCCAGCGGTTGAGTCGACCGGCGTTAAGATGGCTGAGGTCGGAATCGGGCGCAGCGGTGAGTGGGGCTCCAATCAGGAAGTGGCCTGGAGTTAGAGCAGACAGGTCACTTGGGTCACTCGATTCTTGAGTTATGGGTCGGGAATTCAGTAGAGCTTCTATTTGGATAAATGTGGTACTCATCTCTTCAAAGTTGAGTTGGGTTGTGCCAAAAGTTCGGATGAGATGGTACTTTACCGACTTGACTCCAGCTTCCCAGATTCCTCCGTGATGTGGACTTCCAGGGGCGTTGTAGTGCCACTGAATCCCTTCATTTGCTAGCTGGTTTGATACTTCTTGGTTGTGAGATGAATTGGCAAAGCGAGCTGTCAATTCTCGGAGTTCGCGATTGGCACCAACAAAATTTGTTCCGCAGTCTGAGTAGATGTCAGAAGGCCGTCCCCTTCGTGCGATGAATCGTCGTAATGATGCGATGAAGGCCTCTGTCGACAAGCTGCTGACGAGTTCCAAGTGAACAGCTCGAGTCACACAGCAGACGAATAGGCACATGTAGGACTTGACGGTTGTCTTGCTACGTGGTAACATTGGCTTTAGCAAAAACGGGCCGGCGTAATCCACTCCACATTTGGTGAATACTCTGGCTGGGGTCACTCGAAACTTTGGTAGGTCAGCCATGAGTTGTTGCATTGTTGTAGCTCTCTGTTTTGTGCATGGTACACATTGGCGAATTTGGTGGCGAATAGCATCTCGTCCACGAATTATCCAGTATTTTGCTTGGATAATTGACAGCAAGAGTTGTGGTCCTGCATGAAAGTTTCTCTCGTGTTCATACCGGATGAGTAGGGTAGTAAGATGACTCTTCCTCGGCAGCAGTATGGGGTGGCGTTGGTCAAAAGCAAGGGATGATTTGCTAATTCTTCCTCCCACTCGAACGAGACCAGACGAATCGAGAAAGGGATTCAATGCGAGGATTTGGCTTTTTACTCCCACATGAGGGTTATCAGAATTACTGAGGGTTTGAATGTCAGAGGGGAAATATTGATGTTGTGTGAGACGCACCCAATATTCCATGGCATTGTTGATCTCTTCGGGATGTAGGGGTCCACTGACTTGGCTGCACAATTTTCGAGTTGAAATGCGTGATTGGATATTTCTTGAGAAACGGTACATCCAAGCAGTCATTCGCAGTAGTTTGGAAAAGTTGGATGAATTTTGTAGGATTATAGAGAAGGGGTGTACTTGGACTTTGTTGACGACGAGTTCCTTTCTCTCCTCCATGTCGATGGTTGAATCGCGATGGATCGGCACGACCAGAGAAGGAATACCATTGTTGAGCCAACTGGGGCCCTTCCACCACAACATGAAGGCGGAAAGCGTAGAAGGGTCGATTCCTCTCGATGCGCAGTCTGCTGGATTGTCGATGCCAGAAACGTGTCCCCATTGCGAAGGAAGTATTCTGGTTTGGATTTTGGTGACTCTGTTAGCCACAAATCGGTGCCACCTTGATGGTGACCCTTGGATCCAGTCGTAGGTCGTGGAGGAATCAGTCCAGCCACTAATGTGTTGGTATCGAAGATGGAGAGCCTGCTGAACTTTCTCCATGAGTTTGGCAAGAAGTTCCGCAGCGCAGAGCTCTAAACGTGGTAGTGACACGGTTTTGACGGGGGCGACGCGTGTTTTCGACGTGACGATGGCGATGCTTGGAGGAGAGAACGATGAGTAGCTAGCCAAGTACACCACCGCAGAGTAGGCCTTTTCGGATGCGTCTGAAAATCCTAGAAGGGCGAGCTGGCAGTCGGAAGTTGGTGAAGGTTTGATACAGCGTGGAATTCGAATTGATTCAATTTGTTTTAGTTGCGACTTGTAGTGGATCCAACTCCGTTCAATCTCTTCTGGTACTGGATCATCCCATCCTAGCTCCAATTTCCATAACTGTTGCATCATGATTTTAGCTGTGACGACAACGGGAGCCAACCAGCCGATAGGGTCGAAAATCTTGGCGATGTCTGAGAGTATGCAGCGTTTTGTAAGAACTTTCTTCTCTGTGCTCGTGAGGTTATCAATCTTGAAGAAGAATTGATCAGTCGACGGGTGCCAGTATATCCCCAGTGCTTTGATGGTGTGACCAAGTTCCACGGACAATACTGACTTTGTTTCACGTAGCGATTCTGGTAAAGCGTCAGTGACTTCGGGGTGGGTGGATGACCATTTACGTAGTTCGAATCCTCCACATTTCATGAGGTCGAGGAGTTGTTGTTGAAGAAGTAATGCTTCTTTTACCGTTTCGGCTCCGCTCATACAATCGTCCATGTATAAGTCACGTCGGGCTACTACGGCTGCAAGAGGAAATTCGTCAGCATGGTTCTGGGCGTGTTGGTCGACGACAGCAGTGGCTAAGTAGGGGGCAGGACCGGTGCCGTAAGTAACGGTAAGTAGGCGATAGTCCTTGATGGGATGTTCAGGGCTTTCTCTCCACACGATGCGCTGGTAGTCGGTGTCCAATTTTCTTATTAAAATCTGGCGATACATCTTTGCAATGTCTGCAGTGAAGGCGACAGGATGTGTGCGAAATCGTAGCAGAATGTTGAACAGCGGTTCTTGGATAGTGGGACCAACCAATAAGCAATCGTTGAGAGACTTGCCGTTCGTGGTGCGAGCAGAGGCGTCGAATACAACCCGAAGTTTGGTAGTTGTACTTTCCTCCTTCAATACGTAATGGTGAGGGATGTAGTAATTGTTGCTGGACATTACTTCATTTTGAGGAACTTCTTCCATGTGACCAAGTTCCTGGTACTCCTTCATAAAAGCGTGGTACTCTTGACTGACTTCTGGTTGTCGGGCAAGGCGTCGCTCTAATTGTTTCAGTCGTTGGATTGCCATGTCGCGTGATTCGCCGAGGTTGGGTGGATAGGACTTAAAAGGAAGATGAACAACGAATTTCCCATCATCTCTCTGCGAATGAGTTGAGCGGAAGTGCTCCACACAAGTATGCTCTTCTTCTGTAAGTGGTACGGCTTCTGGTAACGTCTCAAGTTCCCAAAAAGTGGTAAGACGATGGTCCAAATCAGCATTTGATACCTCTACTCTTGTTGGTGCTTCATCATTTTTACTTAGTTGAACATGAAATGCATGATTATTGTTTTTTGTGCTCTCTACCTCACCCACCACCAGCCATCCTAGGTCGGAATTGAGGGCGAAGGGTTCTCCTGTTGCTCCAGTGATTTTGTCACCACGGATCAGGCCATAGAAGAGAGATGCTCCTAGCAGCATGTCGATCTCTCCAGGGTTGTGCCAGGTCTCATCTGCTAATTCGAGCGAGTTGAGATGACTTAGATTTGCGTTGCATGGATGAAGAGGAAGATGAGTTGTGACCGTGTGCATGACACACGTATCCTTTGCTCCAATGATGAGCGATGAGTTGAAGTGAGGGCTGAATTCCAAGTCCACGATGCCTTGGGTTGTGCCTACCGGTACCTCAGATAGCCCGGTAACCAATGCTTGCTTTTTGTTGTAGCGTATCCCCAGGCGTCTGATGCATTTTCGGCTAATGATATGCGTATCAGAGCCGCCATCCAGAAGGACACGTACTTGTTGCTGAACTCCTTCAACATCTCGAACGTGAACAATTGCAGTTGCAAGGAGAGTCTGGCCAATTGTGTTGAATGTTTGAGCATGATGTGTGAGTGACGGATTGTTGCCGGTTGTGGGGGCGTTTTGACCAGTCGGTTTGGCTCTGTGGATGAGGGAATGATGTCTGCGCCCACACTGCTTACAGGATGAAGTCGTGGTGCACTTATGTACGGCGTGGCTACCTCGGAGACAATTGTAGCAAAGATTCAGTTTCTGGACTACCTCGATGCGATCTGGAACTTCCATGGCCAAAAACTTGCTGCATTTGAAAGGGGCGTGAGATTCTTGTGCACAAATCTTGCATGGTTCTGACGATGGTGATGGATTTTGGGCATGATGCACATGATTTTTCTTGGGAGCTTGCTGTTGCTTATCAAATGGCTTGATAATTTGAGTAACTTCTTTGGGGCCAGCCGCTTCTAGCGCCCTGGAACTCGAATAATCCCTGCAGGGGAGGGACGCTGCTATCTTTCAGACTCTGCTCGTACAGTTCCTTGGAGTGTGCGTCCAATTTCTGGTAGAGAGTGAATAGCAGGATTGAATCCCATTGTTGTACGGGTTGTCCCAGGATCTCCAGTGACCTGATGCACTCGCCGCTAACGTCAACAAGGGAACGAAGAGTAGTCGATGTGGGGCTTACGATTGGGGCCTGATTGATGAGTCGCTTTAAAATAGCAAAGAGTAACTGACGATCGTTCTGATACCGGTCTCCTAGCTGTTTCCAGGCGATATCATAATTGGCGTCGCTGATGACCAATGATTGGATGAGTCTCGCTGCTTCTCCTTTCAGTTGGGTCTTCAGATATGCAAGTTTCTGAGTATTTGATAGGTGTGCGTTGGTGTGAATTGCTGTACTGAACATGTCGCGGAACGATGTCCATTCTTCTATCTTCCCGTCGAAAGTGGGAAGTGTTAGTTTTGGCAACCGGATGTCCACTCGCGGAGCTGCTCCTGTGCTTGCCGTAGGTGTGGGCGTGGTTGGAGCCAATGAAACCTTGATGATTTGGAATTGGCTGCTCAACTCCATCACTCTGTCCATTAGCTGTTCGTACTCATCCTTGTGGGGCGTAAGGTCGATAGGGTCGCAATTGATGACAATTCTCTCGAATGTTTCTTCAACTGTTGCTTGATTCCGGGCGACGGTTTGCAAATAATTGTCAACTTTACCAACGGTTATTGGATTAGTAGGATGATCGGCCAGCTTCTTCTCGAGCCATTCAATGGTGTGTTGAGCTCTTTCTCGTTCTTTTCGTGCCTTCTCAATTTCTTTGTATGGAGCCATGTCTATTTCGAAACGTACTCAAATCACTTTTCACGCACTTTTTAGAGTTTGAATTCACTGTAATCCGGTTCGATAGAGACCAAAAATGATGTGGGTGTGATTTGAGGATGGAAGATTTTGTGATGATGATGGCGTGGTTTTGAGAAGGACAGACTTTTTAGGAAATTAAGAGTTCTCGGACAGCTTGTTAAGTTAATTTTGCTCAATGTGTTTTACTTCAGTTTAAAAAAAAAAAAAAAAACAAGCCTTGTCATACATAAAAATGGTTAGAACTTAAAATGAATTGGGCTGATGTGGCTCGTAAGGTAAGCTTGAGAAGAGTGGCCAAGAATATTGGTTGAGCATTGGTTAAATTACATTTTGAAGGTTAATTGAATTAGGATAATTTGATAAGAAGTAAGGAGACACATTATGTTATCATATCGGTATTTTGTCCTTTCATACAATTAGAAAAGGTAAAATTGAGAAGTACATATTAAGTAAGATAAAATATTTGTATAATTGAGACGGCGACATGTACATCAGGTCAAAGAATCAAGAAAAGACTGAACTTGAGAATAAGATTACAAATGGTTATAAAATCTCGTAATGTCCTTGGATGCAAACGAATTGGGTGGACAGTAAATGTAAAATAATAACTTATGAAACCGATCAGTAAACACGAGTGAGATGTAATGCCTGTGAAACAAATTGCATACCCAACGTTTGCTTCAGCAAAGTCCACCACCACCACCACCACCACTCAGTCATCATTCATCCAAATCCCATCTCATCCCGCCCCACTCACCTCACTCACTAATTTTATAGTGTTCCAACAGAGCAATTGTTTTCAATTCATCATAATTAATTATAACTATAAGTTAATGCTAATGCACAGTGGTGGAAGGTGGAATGAGTGGGGATTCAGCAGATCCAACTGCGGTGCTACAAAGTGGGCATGAGAGAGACTATAATTTTGCACAAATGTAATTGTATCTAAAGGGTTGGAATGCGACTGCTTAGCTCCTGCTGCTGTAAATATCTACATGAATGCATGTGAGAACAAAATGTGGGCCGGTCGGGTTTTACTCCACATTCCACTTTCTTGTTGGTGAAAAACCGGTCCAGTCAGTCAGGCTCACTCGTCGCTGGAATATCAAACCAGAGCCCATCGAGTGTACTTGTACTTACTCCTCCCTTGCGACAAAATCGTTTTTACAGCGGCTAGCAAAATACGTTGACCACCAGAAGGCAAGTATATAATCCAAGAGTAACGTCCTCCTACTTGAGGATGAAACTCCTGGAAAGTGGACTTCACCCAAGGCATTGCTTAACAGGCTGAAAGGTTCAATAGACATCCCTTCTGCATGGGGCGGCTGCTTTAACATATCGTCGTCCGCATGCACGTGATGGCAGTTGATAGCCAAACGCTGCTATCATATTTATTCCATCGATCCAATTTATCCAATCATCTTCAGACACACTACTGACACAGGATTTAAGGGTTCAAGTTTATAAAAAAGTACACAAACCCCATTTTTATCAGCAGGAAAATGTTTTCTTCTCATGCAACAGTAGCCCATCATTGATTGCGCATTTTGAAATCAATCTGGATCAATGGTTGAGAAATTGATGGCTAAATATTCCATAAAAATATTCATCTCAAAATATTCATACACTGGTTTGAGACAAATTTACAAGCTGCAGTAAGAAGCAAGTCTTGCAGGTATTAAATGATCTATGTATGGTATAACTATGCTCACTTATCATGGGAGAAACTTGCTATTTCCAAATATACACAGCTAAATATACGGAGACCTTACACAGAAACTAAATTACTGTTGTAAATCTTGAAATCTGCAGTTCATTCAACGAAGTGTACAATAAATATCCTATAAATATTAAGCATTATACTTGTAATGTCTTCTATTCATTACTCGAGTCTTGCAGGTAAAAGTTATTGAACATCTAAATCCCGAGTTCTCCATGACAGAAACAAATGTGGCTTTTACCTTTGACATTTTATGGCTGACTTGGCCCTTTATCGTGAGATATGGCGAGAGAGTGAGTGAAAGCATCATTCAGTATCCATGAACTCGTCCTCTGAACGAGAGATGTGGACGAGATAGAACTTTGCCATCTTCAACTAGATGTACTTTTACATTCAGAGTTCGGCATATATGAGCACTGCGTACTTGATACGGGTACTTGATGGAGGGAGAAATCTCTTCACACTCTCTCGTCCATTCGATCTGATGGTGTCAAGTCACAATGAAAACCAGAACTTGTAAGTTATTCGGGCGTCAAAATGGAAATTGAGTTGATTCGCATGTTTCCTTTGAGGAGAACAGAGTGGTGAAACTAGATTTCAAGATGAAACTGATGCATGAATATATGTACATTCACATAACAATTTGCATACAGTTGAAAAACATCACGTCAAGCTATTCACCCAAGTCAGTCCAATCGTATACAGATTTCAATTGGTTGCATAGTTCGACATAAAGTAAGCAATAAAACAATCAAAAATCTGAAAATGCTTCAAAAATATTTGTTAAACTCTCAGCATTTAGATAATAAAATTATTCCCTCCTTCAACATTCCTCTGGATGGGCTTTTGCTATCTGAGCTGAAAGGCCTGCATGATATGTACATAAATACGCGCATAAAATCATGCAGGCAGTACCGAAATATTTGTGCATATGCAGTTTGTGTACCACCAACCAAGCAAAGTCCGCAAACACATTGTGGATAAGCTATGGAGAAAGTGAATGGGAAGCAATATCAATACCCGTTGAATTCAATACAGCATTCAAACACTCTAAATGTACATTATCAGCACTCCATACGCCATTTCGAATTCATCGATGTACACCATATCCCTTCTCCTCATCTGCATCTGTCTCATAGCTCAAAGAATGAAGAGCCTTAAATTTCACTATAACTACCAGTTATGTTCCGGTCCATGCATGCACTAACTTTCCCGACCCGAAATAAAGTCTGCATGTTTCGTACATTAGTAGAGGATTTTCCCAGTGTGTATAATAACCATGCTGTGCAGAGAGCTTAATAAGGTAATATATACGTATCGTGAGTATTCCAAAGGCCTTGACAGAGTTTGAAATTTTGCCGTATTGTGTGCAACAAATAAAGTGCATGCATTACGTAATAGTTCATGAAGCTGATATTGCTGTATTGTAGCGGTATATACTCGTACATATGTAGCATGTGGGAGGGTGTAAACTGCTTAAAATATATCACATATGTAGCAATGCCCGAGCTGAGTTTGAAATTACAGAAATGAAGGGTATTGTTTATTAACGTCACACGATATGCAGAAATTCACTACAAAAACTGTGGATGTAACTACGTACAGTAGGTCTAAAGATTATTTCGTAAAGTATAGGATAGCAGTGCACCTCACGTGGAATATATGTGTGTTTCTAGAAAATTTTAATGCACGCCATGGTTAGCGCAGTGCAGAAGTCGTCCCCCAGTTGAGTACTTATTACTGCACGACGGTATTTGAGGAATACCTGCAAATCCAAACGTCTGTTTATGACAGGAGAAATAATATGGAATAATGCACGACAGAAATATTTAATCTTATGTAAGTCTGAACAGAAAGTCAAATGATTACAGAAATCCCTGCACAAACTGGAATGAATCAATACTTAATTATCAACAAGCTCCGTGTACCAAGTAGAGATTTACCTCGAGCAATGTGCGCACTGATCCTTAAAATTGTATTCAAGGTTTGAAATTCCTAAACTTCGATCCTTCCTCAGCCTCTTCGTCTTCATCTGTCTTTTACACCACGTCGTTGTTTAGACCTGTCTTGGGCACAATGCAATGAAAGTGATATTGGATCATGTGGACGAGCTTGCTGCAAAAACCTGCGAAAGGCAAAATAACGAATCCCTCTTCACATTCCATCTCCCACATCACTTATCAAACTCCCTCCAACTGGGAGTATTAGTGAGTCGGATATACAGTATATGAAGCTGCATATACATAAGCACGGAGGTTCCTGGTGCGAGCTTTCTTTCTCTCAAATCGACGACTCTGGTTAAACTTTTCTCAATTTCACTTGCACGTGGCTTTTTGCACGGTTTGATGCAGCTGTGTTCAGCTCCACTCAATTTTCCTTATAAATTGGGATTTGAAAATCTATCTGAATCGTCATTGTGCAGCTGAACTGCACGAGTTTATAAGACTCGAGGAAACAGCTTTTCTGTGGGTGCTGAAATGTTCACGCTCTCAATTTACGTTATTTTACGCATCGCTCCATTCCTTTAGTTTTCTCAGCCAAGACTTGAAAAGTCAGCCAACTTCGTTCGTTGACTTTCACCACGATCGGTGGTAATGATGACGCGCTCATTTCATTACGTGTAACATGTATGTGTCTACATAGTTTCAAAACTATATATGATAAAAGAAACTATGCGTCTTGCATTATACTTGAATGCAAATGATGTAAAAAATTGAAATCTTGATAAAGTTTACTACAAATAAAATCTGTAATGTTATTTTGAAGTTGGCATCAAAGATTACGAGCACAATTTAAACTAAAATTCTTCTTCTTACAAGTGCTAACATTGGTAACCCAGTTTTGTTTGAATGGGTAACTGGTGGAATAGCGGATGTCATAAACATTGCTAGACAATGCAAAATCATGTCATAAATCTCCGGTCTGAATCCATATGCATAGAGGTGACTTTCTGAGGTTTGGCCAGGAGATTTCTGGGATTTCGTCGTTGTTAAAACGGCCTAACCCAGTGAGGCTTAGTTCCTTAAAGCCGTACCCTGGATGTAATGGCATGCCTCCAATAAATTGATTATATCGCCCTCAAGATGCCATAAATTACTCCTGGCGGCCAAGTCGTCCTTCTCCACCCCAACCAACAAAGTTTATACTCTAAGCAATTGCTAACTATTAGACAGCTAAGAGAAAACTTTGGTTTGGATGGTGAAAGCCACAGTTTTTCCTCTTCAACATAACTCATATTTGAAATTAAGATGAAAGCATGGTTTCAAAATTTTGATATCGAATTTAAATACCTGGTTAGCAATACTACTTTTTTAATGATATCCACTTTTCCTCACGTTATGCACAAGATCCGAGAGAATCGCGACGGGGATCAATGCAATATGTCAGAAGGTTGCGTGAGACACATTTAACCAAGTTTCTGCATTTATTTTTAGTTAACTGCCTCGCCATTGACACCCGTATCTGATAACGCTCACAAGAAAAATTAGTCGGAAGTATTAAACATTAAACTGTCTTAAAGTTTTAGAGCTTGCTTTACAAGTTTACGTACATTCGAGCGACATGCTGCGAAAGTGGTGCCAGATTTATACGACATGATTCAAATATTATGCATCAGGAAAGGTCTTCCCCGTAAAAAATCTTAGTTTTTTTCCAACTGCACTATTTGATGAGATACTGCTGCTTCGAATACGGGTTCCATTTTCCCATAAAAGCTCAATCAATAACCATGTGTCATATATTTTGTATCAATACTGAAGCAGGACGCACGTTTCCAGACACAGTTGAAGCGTATTGTGAAGAATGTATGAGCTCCGAATTTTAATGCTTCCGTGCCATGCCAGTTATTGCCATTTGCTCTCGTTTTCGTCGGTGTCGGTTAAAGTCACAAGGGAGCTTTACCCTGAAAAAGTTGAACCCATTCATTTACGTCTTAATTTTTCTCTTTAACGTCATTTTTATGTTCCTATCCCAATTCTGGGGTAGATAAATATTTGCCGAAATTGATATTGTTGCGAGGAAAAGCGCAATTTGTTGATACATGTTTCAATTTGCTGATTAAAAAGATAGCAACACGTCCTAATGGCAGTCTTAATAAGGATTATTGGATGGGAAAAAGAGCCGTAATTTTGGATTGACTCCATCATCGTGGTGATCTTAGTGATCCTCAATTCCATAAATTTTGCATTCAATTCTAAAACTTTTGGTAGCAAGATACGATTTATTATGTATTTCGTATTTTATTATAAAAAAGATCCGAGACAACAATAAAATGACACTGTTCTAAGAATATCATAATTGTAGACGGAGTATAATAGTAATGTATACATAGTAATTACGATAACTCCATATTTAAACTAATTTTAGTAAATATGAGGTATGAATCCTGCTTATGAAATTTAAGTATACTGGTCCAAAATAAATTCCAGACATTCGTTATAGAAGCAATAATATTACGTGGCGCAAGTTACGAACATATAAACGAAAGTATTACAGATTAGTTTAATAATAACCGTGAAATGAAAGTTTCCATTGTGTCACTTTCAATCATGCAGCTTATGCGAAGAGTGTCTGGGAAAGTGAGAAAATGTAGATCATGAAATATTTACTACCTCGTTGTCGTTTGAATAAGCAAGGCTCGACCTTTCCCTCCCCGGCCAACTTTCTCCAGATTCTAGTTCTGGAAGGGAAAGTGGGAATGTAGTGCAAACTGCGAGCATAAAGTGTGCCAGAAAAAGCAATATCAATATCTGTCTATCTGTAGATTATCAAGTCGTCGTGGGCTGTTACCTTCTTGAGAAGTGAGGTGGGTGGGTGGTTGTTTTGTAAGTGGGGCGATGTTTGGCAAAGACAGTGGTGCGTATTTACGTATGTACGCTGGCTATATGCACATACATACATATGTAGTGATGGGATGGACCAAACAGCAGTACCCGTGTACGTACTACAACCTCAAGAAGAGAATAACTGACTGACAAATGGTGAATGGCCAATAATTTCCGAGCAAAACCAAGTCAAACTTGGTTTACCCTTGACTGCAGCCTTTCTCCAGCCGCTGTTTTATACGTAACTGCAAGTGAGTCATGTTCCCATTACCACCTCAGCGCACGAGATCTCCAAGTCAGTTTCACTCTCATCTAAAATCCAGATCAAGGATCAGAGAGAGAGACGAAGAAGAAGGAGGAGAAGGCAGACTGAAGGAGTGTAGAAAGCAAAGTAGAACGGCCGGCTCTCACCAGTCAGATGTGTAATAAGAGGAGTCCGCGTATACAGCATGGAGACAGCGATAGCACCCAGCAGACCAAAGAGTTGACTACATTTTATTCCACCCAGTTCCAGCAGAAATGACGTTACAGAGGTGTAACAACTTGAACGCTGCTCACAACGTCTTTTCCATTCGAATCAAGTTTAACTTTGGAACCCATAACCCACGTGGAGCTAAATTTACGACCAAAGTCTTCTCACTTATACCGAGTAGTTTCAAACACTGCGTTGGGCTTTGGTGTGTCAAATACAATTTCACTCCGCCAACCAACTCTGCAATGCTCCACATCCCATGAAATAAATAAATTCGAAATTTGTATTACGCAAGATTTTAGATTCAATACCCGCAGCGGCAGTGGAATCAAAATATATTTATATTCGACTGCAAAAAAAAGTAATTAACCAATTTTTAATGGACACCCAATTTAAATGTATTACGTGCCGACTGGTTGAATATGTTGTAACGCCAAGGAAGGCTTGAAATTCTTGCAATGCAAAAACTGTAGCCAACTCAATCCAGATTCTGTTCACTCAATAAGTTCACGTGCCAAGACTGATTTGCCAGACGGAGAGTTAAACCTTCTCAGCATTCTTATATATATTCCTTCTTATATGTAGGCACACCAAGTAGTCTTCAGATGAACTCATCACTCCTTGCGGAATTTTTTTATAGGAAACCGAGGGAAAAACCTATAGTTATTTAATAGTGTTGGAACCATCGTCATTATAGTAATTTGCAGGATGATTGGCGACATTTGCTGTGCTAGCAAATGTGCCTCTCCCTTCATTACGGCTGTCTACCCACACATATATATTTTGTAAACCTAGAAAATTATGAACCATCAGAAGATCTTGTCGAGTCCGTAAATGTTGGTTCAAGATTTTTTGAGTCCTGATTTTATATTTTATATTTTCCAGCGCTTCTTATTTTTCTTTTACATGAACGTGCTATGAGCTACTATGAAGCCTTGGTAGAATTATTAAGTAGCTTCATGAGAAAATACTGCGGAACTAGGACATTGAGTTTCAAGTAAAAGTAAAGTAATCAAAATGACAAATGAGGGTTATACATACTAAAATTTGGGTTATTGTCATAACCTCAATTTTGGCAAACAATAAGGATTTATAGGAAAGTGAAGTGACTACAAATTGCAGCTGAAGCAATAAAGTTCATTAATGCAAGTACCCAGAAATATCGAGTGGCAACTACTCGAAAAGTTTCTTGGGGAAAAACAGTAGGGAAAGAAGAAGTACTCTCTCTCTCTGGCAACGTAACTCGAAATCAAGGTGTGTCATTTATACGAACAACCTTTGGTAAATTTTGAGGGCCGGGAAGGAGTTGATTAAAGTAGCGTGATCACAGATAGTAAAACTCGTGGTATCTGCACACATTAACGTGACTCATATATTAGGAAAGATTATTGTGGGAGTGAAGGTTGCTTGACGGGAACGACTTGTACAGAAGATTTGGGGCAACGCAAACCTCATAAGATTACAAACCCCAACCAACCCTATCTTCAAAGGGGACAATTAAGACTAATTGCAATAATGGGTCGCTCGGTTAATGTTCCATACTTCATTTCATGCATGCATTATTTTATGATTATTTGATTATTGTACAGAGGAGGAAATTGAGCTTTATTTTATAATGTTTTGTTTGTTTGAAATTTGCAGCCGTGCCAGAAATAGAAGTGGATGCAGTTGTTGGGGGTCGAGCCGAGCTTCCTTGTAAGTGATTCTACTAATTCAATAATAATTGTTACTGTAATTTTTTATTTATGGAGCTTTCATTCCGTAGGTGATGTCAATCCACTCCCACTTCGGCGTGATGACGCAGTTCACATGGTATTCTGGTTCAGAGATGATTTTGGGAAACCAATTTATAGGTGAGGAAAATTTACCTTACGTAACCACTAGATTTATCTCCATCATTTCTACCCCCGACTTTTCCATACATGCGAGTTTATCCCGGATTCATATATGTAGTTAACATGTACGCACATACTTATGTGCATTTTCTACTTATCTGTTATTTAACCTCCAACGAATGTATTTTCGAGTTCTGATCAGTTTCACTCCACCCGTTTTCCCTCTGAAACATTTAAAGACGAGTGTACGGTTACATCCGTGCGAGTTTTAAGTAGGGGGCCCATTCTTATTGATGGGTGTTCTTATTGGCAACGGGTGGAGAAAGTAGTTGAGAGGCCATGGTGGCACAGCAGAAACTCGGTTATGGGATTTGCCGGGTGACTGATGGATGCAATAAGGAAACGACGATTTGTGAACTGTTTACGGACACCATCGCATCGCCACTAGCAGAATGTGGTATGATTGCCAACCCCATGTCGTTCGTGGCTGCCCCGTTGTCCGGGACCTAGTTGTAACCATTACAGTGGCCATTCTTCTCTCTCAACTTGGTCTCGTTGAAAGGGCGATGGTTACATTTTTGGACTCAAAGTAATTCTAATACATAAAGATGCCGTTCCATCGTTCTCAACTCTCAATTCTCTCTCCGTCTCTGCCTCCTTGAGTGAAAGGAGAGAATAGATAGAACACGGATGTAATGAAAACACCATGGAGGATCAAAGTCATAAATCTTGCATGTTTTTCTCTTTTCTGAATGACAGCCTCGATGTTCGTGGACGGCCGTTTGTAACAGCACGTCATTGGTCGTCAAACCAATGGTTCGGAAGTCGGGCTCATTTTAGACTCATTTCGGAACCTGCTCGTCTTGTGATCGAAAGTAATGATTTATAGTCTTTGAATAATAATAATCTTTTCTTTGCCAATTATTAATAAGATTATTTGTTTCTTATTTTTTAGATGTCAAATTAACTGATGAAGGAGTTTATAGGTATTTAATACTTTAAATAACTACGTTTATGCACTTTCTTGTAAATGCAATCATCGCTAAAGTACGAAGACCTCTCTCACTCAATGCTCGAGAGTGACAAGATTTTCGTTCGTAGTTATATGATCACCATGTTTTGCAAGTGAATTTCACCCACAACGTTGATTACACTCTGATTGAAATTGTAGGTGCAGGGTCGACTTCCGAAACTCTCCCACAAGGAATTTCCGCTTTAACCTAACCGTCCTTGGTAAGTATCACTCAATTTTCTAAATGCCTTGCCCCTCCCTAAAAACACACCTACCAAGCATCTGTTGCACTACTACCATGGTGTGAAATCAATGAAACTAGTACATTCTCGAAGTAAATCGTGCTTTTTCAATTTCGTACAATGTGGATTAATGAATAAAATAAGAAAATGCATTTGATCAAACATATAGGTAAATACATTTGTATCTACATTTGTAAATCTATAAATTCGTAGTTTTGCATTAACGAATTTCTTTGACGCTTCAGTAGTAGATTAAATTAAACGATGCCAAACTTTTATCTTGTGTTTCAATTTAATCCTACGATTAGAATGCATCCGTTTTTTAATCATGTACTGAGGAAAGTGGTCGTAAAATAGGAACTTTTCTTTTATTCTTTCTTCTACAAAGAGTTTGGTTGGTGAACATGAGGTAACAAACTAAGCAAAAGCTACAAAAAAGTTATTTCATCATTTTCTTTAAGTAAAGTTTACTTTCATTGAACCACTTTTGTTCTATAACCGATCTGATTTCTGCTCTTCCATTAAGCGCATTTTAGTGAGTAAGCCAGAAAGTAGAACACGGAACAATGCCGAATCAATGATAGATATGACAGGCTCTTTCCTCAAATTCTTAATGTAACATCATATACGAAACCACCGTTACATAACCACATGTCAAAAGCTCAATATACAACAATCGTCCTAACAGAAGGCCCATTTTTCAATTCCAGCATTTCACTTTCACTCAACTCTAATTTGTTATCAGTCACTACAAGTGCTGCGATATCGGAAAATAGATCTCTTGAACCTGTATGAAACGACGATTATTTGTAAAGTGCATCTGGTCTGTGCTTGACATGTGCAGAATTAAACAATTCAGCTCCTACATTTATAATTTGTATGATCTAAACATAAGATTTTAACCCGTGGTTATACTACAAATCTATACTTTCTCCATGCCTCCCGTACTAAAATTTCACAACCTCACGTACTGATTGGGTCCATCTATGTACATATTTCAGTGCCTCCTGAGGCTGTGGCCGTGCACGACTCATCGGGAAGACTACTCACCAACTCAATTGGCCCCTTACGCGAAGGATCCGATCTGACACTTTCATGCCACGTTCGAGGAGGTAAACCTTTTTGGATGACTTTATTTCAGTGTTGAAGAGGAAGAGCCAAACGAAACATATTTCTTTGTTTTTTTCTCTGAAACAACTCACAATTATCCATACGAATACAATAATGCTTGTTTGTATTACCAGTTCAACTCTCGTACTACGTACGTATGTACGTACAAGAGCACTTGCAGCATGATATTTTATACAAGCAGACCTTTATTGTACAGTCCTACACTCTATGTGCACTCAAATCCATTTTATTTTGCGTTTGGATCCCATAAAACCTGTCCTGAATGCAATAAAATGTTAGTAGTAGGAAATCGAATGTCCTTAAGATGAGACACACAAGTTGGAGTATTTTTTATTCCTGATATGGGCAAGACGACCAAAGATAATGCGGAATATAAGAGGAAATACTCTGTTTTAGATAGACTGCGTTCTTTTGTTTTATTTTTCTTCTTCTTCTTCTTCCAGCCTTGACATTTTCCACGCTGAAGACGAGCTTATTTGCCTTTCATACAATTCAAGTGAAATATATTTTATTTTGCAAACTACCACTTTTGGCTTTATTTATTTCGCCTGGAGAAATATCAATGTGAAAGCACTTATCCTTCCCAAGTTTATACTTTGTCAGTTTCAACATATCCGAAGGAAATGAAATTTATTGTAAATTCAACAAATAATTCAAAATCCAAATTGTTATGATAGTGCAAATGTTCGTATATGTAAAAATTTAAAGCTTAGCCAACCAATGGCTACAGTACTTGTGATTTTATTGCTAATTCACATTACTTTGTCGCTCGTGTAAAAATGATTACGAGTGGTGTAAAAACACTTACATGTCCGCCAACCAAATGGAATCCATTTGAAGAGGGCTTGGTAATTGAAACAGGAAGTTTTCGTGTAGAAAAGTAGAAACAAAAATATCCAAAACCTGCATGGAAGCAAAATCTTGAGAGTAACAATTTTGTTTCTATTATTACAACTTTTTCCCAAAACAAAGTATTCATCCACGAATTGTCAGCATGCATGCACAAAATCAAAGAGTTTGTTCGTGAAATTGGTGAAATGAGTGAGTTGAGTTAATAACAAGAATGAGATCTTTTGTTAAGTTTTTGTTGAGATTGGCCCTCAGCGTGTAGAAACTACACACAGTTCACCAAAAACCTCCAACTTTCTCCAAGCAGTAATAACGAGAGGGTTTTGGAGAGAGGATCACCAACTTCCTTAATAACGCAACCTTAGACACGAACAAATGTCCAGTCGGCTTATTCAACTTCCAGTCACTCATTTCGTGTCATGCCACTTTTCGCTCAGTCAGCACTTATATTTAAAAATTGCTGTTGGCACTATTTTTATGCTAAAAATACTATGCTCCTTAATTTGCCGAAATTTCGAAGCATATTTATACTCTATATATGCTGCTGCACAATCATATTTGACCTTATATTACACAAAAGTACATGTATTTTTGTTAAAAAATATCACCAAAAGTGTAAATATAATGAATTAGATATTTTATTTCGCGTGTGCTGGCCTAAATTACTAAAAGGTTGTGTAAGAAATTGATAACATTATCGCACTTTGTAAGGAGTCCGTGTTGAGCCCAGTCACACTTTGATTCTGTCACTATTTTGTTCGCTTCAGGAAGTTTAATTCTTTATTGCAGATAAAAAGAACGGAAGACTTTAACTAACTGAATAAACCACGAAACATGGAATAATTTTTGCCATAAAAGAAACCATGATGCACGTCAAAATTCCGTTATTTCCGGCAGATGTGTGTACCAGTTTTCAACGGGAAAATGTTAAGAGATTAAGTATCATGATAATTTCCGGACCGTAAACATTTGTTCACGCTCAATAAAAAATGTATAAGTGCAGAATAGAAATAAGCTGTCAAAATTGAGCATATGAATAAAAGAGAAAACTGGAGCTCTTGTTGTTCAAAGACAAGAACCCGGGTACAAGCATATGTAGCACTAAAGCAGAATCTAAATAAGGTACAAAACGACTCTCTCTCTATGCATTGAAATTTCAGTGTTGGAAGGTTTTCGAGTATTTTCAGAAACTTTGGAGCAAAATAATTCCAACTAATAATGTCAAGATATAGGTGCATGCATGTGAGAAATAAATGTGGAGAAAGTTTTGTCACTTTCATCACCACACACAACAAGGGAAGACAGACAAGTCAACCAACTCTGTCTTGAACATTCCATGTCAAACCTGGAAAATTTTGTCTGTATATCAGCACATGCGAAATGTTCTTTACAGCGGGTGCTGCTCCATTCATTCAGCTCTTTCAATGTACATGCATACTTTGTTCACGGAGATGATGCATTCATATTTTTGGGGTTGCCGTCAGTTTCTATTTTGCTGGATGGATGGACGGGTTGCATGACAAAAGATTATATCTGTGCAATGCAGACTTATTTTCGGCTTTCCCTTTGACAGCTGTATAATGAGTTGTGTGTGTTATGTGCATGTGTGGAACTGCATACTCTGTGTATCTGAAAGGCAACGAGAATCATGTCTCAAAGAAATTGAAATATTTGGTTGAAATATCTTTACCACAACTTGATACTCAAGCAAGAGTTTGTAATTTATTCGCAGGCAGGTAGCGGTAAAAAACTATGAATGGACTGGGTGCACACAAACTAACTATATGTTGTTTACATGCTGTTATATTTACACCAAATGAGCTTGTTTTTCAGTCAGTTAGAATCGATAATAGTGGAAACACACAAAGTGTCGGAATGAGAATCATACATACTTACCTTTGGCACGTATAATGTGTGGCAAGCCAGAGTTAAAAGTTTGACGATAGGAAACTTTCCAAAGACAACAATTGATTCATTGCAATTTCTCCATCCGTTCTTCCTTAATTTGGACCAATTGGAATGTATGTGTGTCTGTACTTCAGGTGATGTAGAAACAAAGATGCGCAAGTATGCGCTGCTCGCTATCATATTATTTCGTTTGGAGGGATAAGCCAGACAAAGTGTCGGAGATACGTACGTACGTAGGAGAAGGAGGAAACAGCTCCAGGTCCCAAGTTGCTCAGTAAGGTGATATTAGCGCTAACTAACCGAACTGTGTCGCATCATGCCGTTTTGTATCCTGAGGAAAGGCAAACTATACTCAGAAGTCGTGATGGCTGTTCTTGTGACACGACCGTGGGCAGACATGCTTCCTTCTTGCCAAACTCCATCTTCATTGTGAAAATGGATGCAGATTCGGAGAGAAGAAAGTTTGCTTCTCTTTCTTTCTGTCACTTTTCCTTTTGCAGGTTTACTCTTTCGTTATGCAAATTAGTTGAAAGAGCTTTTATGGGGAAACCTTAATAAGCTTAGAGGTTATACAAAAGTGAAGCAAAGGGGTGTGATTGTTGATGTTTCTTGTTTCTGCTTTCTCCTAAGCAAGTTACTTTGTAAGTAAGTTTGTAGTGTAGAGAAGTCGGAATTTGGAATTCGTTGGTGTCTTCGTCTGTCCTCTGAGAATTCTCACGAGACGAGGATGCGGCGGTGGTGCAATGCTCGGCCCCAGAATTCAGACTGGAAATGCCGAAATGGGATTAAAAGGCACAAAGAACAACAAAAGAAAGGCTATTAGCAGAGAAAGCTGTAAATGACATGCTTTTGTTATCTAGACTGAAAAGACGGATCTCTTCAAATTTTCTGGGCTTAGTCCGAGTTAGTTATGAAAATTTGGGAGTATGTGTACCTGACAGGACAGACATGTAAGTAAATACATATGTACATACATACATACGGACGACGTGTGTCTCGCAGACGGAGAAATATTTCATCTCCATTTCGCCCGTGCGTATGTATATGCAGAAAAATATGTACGAATGCATCATGTCCTGGTTATTCTTGTCAGCACGTTCAGCCGGATTTGCAAAAACTTGAATTTAAAAGCCAGAACATTGAGCGTTTAATCGATTCACCAACTTGCAGCATTTAATTAGGCGACTGATAGTCCTGTCAGTTTAGCCAACCTCTTAGCACGCCTACATAGCACCAACTACATAATGCTCTCGTGTCAAAGTGCCGTGACATGGCTTCAGCTATTTCTCTGATCCTTTGCGCCTGACGACCATACACAAAACAATATCAGGTAATCTATAATGAAAAACTTGAATGCTGTGAGGCCCCTTAACTTCAAACGGCTGCAGTGCTCTGGAAGTTATTTACTAGTTAGGATGGAAAAGGCAGAAATGGGAAGCTCGTTCAAGTGAAAGTCAAAGTTGGGGAGTAATTGAAGTGGAGAGAACACACGTAGACCCACCTTGTACAAAGTTGGAGTTGAAGTTTAATTCCGGAGGCACTGCGTTATGGGTCGCAGGCTCTTCTTGGCCAAATAGCAGACCGGGTAATGGTAGATAAAGGCACACTAACCTGACTTCTAATAGAGTAGTTACCAATCTTATTACAAAGCCTGATTATTTGAAGTCGGGCACCACGTTCCGAGTTCAGCCCAACCTGATACATGGGTGTCTTTACGTAATAAAATGATAATATGTCGTTGCTCGTCGTTACGCGTACTCCGAACGTATGCGTAACTTCTTCGAGACTTTTGATAAGTTTATTTCTTTAATTAAAAAATTAGGGCATCATTGTTGAAATAATTACCATAATGTGTAGGTCTGTATGTACAGAGGGATGTGCTCGAACCCCGTGCACACCTTACATATTTATCCATTATGCACCTACAAATGTACACACGTAATAGTACATATAGGGCTTGTAAAGTTTATTTGAGACTTGAGACGTATTTCACTTCCATTGTTTCGAGAGGGATTTTCTCCATTCGCCTATTTATTTTGAACCAGCTGCATCAGACGGTTCCGCATTTCAACGGTGACAGTGAAACCGGAATGGTTATAAACAAACACATCTTTATAACCTAGCAAATAAGGAAGAGACAAAATGACATTAAGCTTTTATTAGTGATTAAGTTGAGAGATTAAAACGAGTGCCGCTGCTGCTTTGTAATGAAAGCTTCCTCCTCCTCATCCTCCTCCTCCTCGGCAGATAAAAGAATTTAAACATTGGTGAGAGAGCAGATTAAATAATGGAGACCAACAATATGAACACAACGGCGAGGGGAGGACACGAAGAGATGAGAAAGTTTTGTAGAAAATGAAATTCGACTGAAGATTGCATCTAATCCTAACGTTTGTTGTCCGTGGCTCAATTCATAATAAAGATGAGGAGATGGTTGATAAAGTACGTCTACACAGTTCTGAGAAGTGTGAGACGGATAATTCTTGAATTATTTTATCCCAAGCGTCCTTCTACTTACGGTCAGTATTATTAACAACTTGATACGACGAGACAAACTAAATTGCCACCTACACAGTAAACCGACTTAATGGACAAAGATATAATCTTCATAATAATAATACTTGCCCTACTTCCACTACCCAAAATGTGTCCTCTACACAAAATGTCTCGCAAATGCCCACCGGCCTTTCCCACATGAATTGCTCTTCTTGATTGTTGATGTTGTTGCTACGATCCACAAGCCTATTTTTGAATCAATCCTCATCTACATTTAAAAGGGGGAAAGTAAATTCAAAGAGCGAGCTGTGCTGCAAGGGTGCACAGGTCGCTTGCTGTCCGAGCCCTTTCCTTTCTTATTACATCGTTGTTGTGCTGGGTTTATATTTTGCATTGCAGTCCTTCTTGGTTGCTGATCGTGGAAAGCAAACTAATGAGATATGCTTGGAGGAAGAATCAGAGCATGACAATATAACAGAATAGCTGGCATTCTGATCTCGCTTCGAGCAACGGCCGGCAACTACTCTGCTGCGTTATGTACTTATTTTTCACATTTGGTAGTGTGTGTACGTAGTCGCAGCAAAATCTGTCTCATCGGAATTATGTACACTCTCAAGAATGCAGAATTAATGTTTCCTATATTTGTATGTAAAACCAAAACAAGCGAGTATTTTCATGACGACATCAGAATCGCAGTGGGACTTCTGTGTAAGTGAGAATAGATATGCATAAGTGCGAGGACAGAGTATGAGTTTTCGTAGGCGGATGATGACGATGGGTGGCCTGAACTTTAAGGAATAGAACTGAGGAAATATCTAAGTAAGTCAACTTTTCAAGAGATTCGGAATTTTACGATGATCAAAAAGAGGCTTTTAAACGGAGTAGCCATGCACAGTTCCGCTTTGATTTCAAAGTCACGTTCTGTGACGGCTGGTCTAGTTTCGCAGTGGTTGATGTCGATAGGAACACGTCGGTGCGGATGTCGTGACGCAGAATATACTAAAAAATGTCAATGGAGATAGGTTAATTTTACACGGTCATAGTATTTGCGCTTGCTGGACTTGCCGTGGAAGAAAGTAATTGAAAATTCTACTTGAAGAGTTGAAGATTACTTGCTTGCACAGCCATATTATTATTTGCTTATTTGTTCAAAGTGAAATTTGTCCACCCAAATCAAGAAAATGCCACTCACTCACGACATACATAAGTATTGTGCATATTGATTCAACGTGCAGATATTGTACTCTTAACTTGCAATATCGATATGCGCAAAATATAATATTCGTATATAGATATTTGTTGGCGTTAAAATTGAAATGCACAATAAGTTGTTGTCACACACGGAGGAGGAGCATGTGCTTCATGTCATTCCCAAGATTGTGTACCCACTTATCGCCCGCATTTTTCACCGTAATATCCGACGAATTGTGGCAATTTATTATCACAAAGTTCGCCTAATATGGCCTCAAATGCCACGTACCACTTTGACTACGTGGTATGGCAAGTGAAATTTGCATAAAATATGACGAATGTCGTAGGTGTTAATATAGGTGAGTGGAACGCTCAATTTGAAGAATGCTCCAAGTGAGTGAAAGAAAAGTGAAACGGAGAAAAGCCATCAATTCCATGAAAGCATTTCATGTATGGATTCCAAAGTATACTTAAGCACATATTTTTGCCTGATGATATGAAGGAATTGGTGCGTATAACACCATGTGCGAGATACCCCATGCCTATCTTGTCATTCAATTTGATATTCCAGGGGTGAAAGATGATGATGATATGCAAATAGTGCGAGTGAATGCGATGAATATGAATATTGAAGAAGACTTTTTAAATTTTTTCAGGAAAGCCTCCTCCTCACGTGGAGTGGCGGATCGCGCCCTTGTCGGGAATGGGAGAGGAGACTGTATCTTCAAAGGAACCCATCATTCGTCAAAGCGGTGGAGTTTCAGTCAAAAAGTTGAAAATCTCGGCTGTCCATAGAGAAATTCATGGTGCTAATTTGACATGTGTTACGTTCAACTCCAACCTGACTGATATGCTAAGTGCGTCACTGAAGCTCAATTTATACCGTAAGTGCAAATTCCTTCATCAAGATTTATCAAGTCAAGTTTATGCATATGTTTTAAAGTCGGAAGGAAGAGGGGTTGTAATAACGACGATAATTCAAACCTATCGAAACTATGGGAAGGAAAGAAATATTTTTCCATAAATTTCCACCTCGAATAGTGCACAAAATTATGATTCTAATAAAAATTCGTAAGGGGTGGAAACTTTGAAAAATGGAAATCATGAAATCCCATTAAAACTTATTTCTATATAAAAGTCATAATATAATGAGATTCCACAGCAGCTTGAAGAAATCATTCGTTCGCACACACAACTATCCACTAATACCGTGCTCCTCCAAACTAACTTACACTTGTTCCCATCATATAACTCATTGGACACTTTGCCAGCACAACATTCTACATTTCTGTCAGTTTGTTGAAAAAAAGTTTGGTAGGAAGTTGATTTGCAAGCGAGAGTTAAGTTCACTTATTCTTTTCAAGTCGCGCAATTCTGCACCGAAAAAAAGTTTAACATTAAAAGAAATGCCGTAAGGAATTCTCAGAGCTAAAAGGCTTAAAGTGTAAACTACTTAATCAACTTTGCAAACTTGCAAGTGCTCCTCAGTGCATTCTCTCCACGAGTTTCTTTGGACAGTTGCCCCAATTTGGTCAAGGAGTGTAGCAGTGGGCAGTGGAGCGTGTTATCTCGTACATACATATGTGTCCGATGTTGCTATTTCGGAGTTGTGTAGAATGTACAGGAAACGGTGCTTATTGACAGAACACAATCTTCCACCAAGCCAGTGGCAAACCTCTTTGGCAATGATGGATTGATTCATGACCCGAATATCTCCACCCAAGGCTAAAGTTGTCCCTATCTTCCTCTCGATATCCTAAACTGGGCAATGATTTGAGGTTGGATTGCCCATATAAAGCGTTATGAAATAAATATATTTGTTTGCATTCCACATAAATAAATTCTATTTTGCATCAACTAACAAGAAAGCGACACAACTCTGACAGGTGTAAATTGATTGACAGTAAAGTATGATCATATTACAGTAAAGCCTTCGAAATCTGAGCCTTCCAATGTGGAAGAAGACGGTATCACCACTCGCTGCTTGAGCATATGTATGTCTTATAGAATTATATTTGCAATGTCTGCTTTCTCTTTGCAATGAGAAAGTTTTGTTGAAAAAATGACAGGTTTCTTCCAAAAATATTTGGAGTGCGTTTCAACTTGTCCGCAAGACAAGGAGGCTTTGATCTTTATATGCAGTGTAATTGAGAGTATTGGTTGGATTGGGTGGAGTTATTACGATAAAGTGAAAGTGATATCATATCTTTATCATTTGACAGTGAGACCCCTCTCGGCTCGGATCGTGCAAGTCGACCGGTTGGTAGCAAATCAGGTAAGATTTGAAATATTTATATGCATCGAGAAAGTTTGCCGTCTTGTTGTGATTACATTTTCATCCTTTCTGATTTTTCAGCGGCATCAGATTGAATGCATTGCAACTGGGAGCAGACCTGAAGCAATGATAACGTAATGTTTTAAAAGCATATTCGTACAGATTACACTCGCATTACGTATGTTCTGATATCATTCTTAGCAGTATGATGTTTACCCAATATGCTTTTTTATCAGGTGGTGGATTGCGAACAGGCAACTTACCGACGTGAACATACTGGTAAGCGCATTCCTCCTCCTCATCTTGTTTTCTGCACATGGTTTTGAGTGCTCCTGGTTCCCACTATTATTTTGATGACCTACATCCATCCTCACACACATTTCCTCAGCAGCCAGAGCCACCAACCCAGCGACTACACTGCAAGGAGGCTGACGTAGTGAGTGAGACAGATGAAGGTGTTCCACGGAATATTTTTTCGGAAACTCCAAATGTGAGAGTGGATACGTATGTATCTGTAGGACCGCCAACCGTCATATCTTCTTGAGAAGGAAAAGTGAAGATAATTTCCCAACTCACGAAGCAGAATATGTTTCCGGAAAATAATCAGAATTATAGGTTATTGGACTTTAGTTGAATACCTTTTTTCCCAAAGATAAAACCAACAAGGAATAACTGGCCACAAAATCATACTGGACAATCACACTTTTTGTCTTTCTTCTTTAACAAGGGTTTATCGATATTGACCCGATTTGGATAGTGGTGGATGATAATTGTTATGATAAGTGCTTTCTGAAGGCCGTAGTCAATGAGTGAAAGCAGAATGTATGTAATAGACATTCACCCACAAAGAATATTTTATATCCAGATATTGCACTAATTTTGCTCTGGTCAAAGTGGCGACAATTACATAAGTTGCACTCCAACAATGCATCCAATCCAATATGCCAGAAAAAATAAATAAACGAAAACTCGCGTTTACAAAATCCATTTAGGGGAAAATGTTCCTGTTGTTTGTAGGTAAATAAATAAGAAAGCTACAAAAATGAAAACGAAAGCATACAAAAAATTGCCAAATGCCTTGAAAGGAAACGTATCCTGCCCTATACTACAAGCTCTGTCATGCAATATTGTGTGTTTTGAGATCAAGAGGAACGGCACGACCTCCACATTTTTCCTTCAAGTGTTGGCTTAAGCGAGCGCTTCATATGGTTTCTCTAATTGTAATGCATTAACGTTCAGGAGCAGATGGTTATCTCAACGTGCAATTAATTGCCTTCCTTTTCAAACCAACTTACTCTCAGACTTTGTTTCTCACTACTCTTTTATGAAATCTGGATGTTGCATGCTATTTTTTTCTGGAAATCTTGCACTTCGTTTAACATAAAACTAATACAACTTAATGTTGAACATGGAAAAACTAGCCAGGTTTACTCTTGTAAAATGAAGGAAAAGGTCATATCTGATGATAGCATGAAAGGGGAATTAGTCCGCAGTTAGTTTTCCGACGTTAATTGCATTGTATAGTGAGAGAAAGAAGGAATGAGGTATATTAAATTTGTTGAAAAATGCCAAAAGTGAAGTTGGAGTGAAATCCATGTCTAATTGCCAATTAGGCGAATATATCATATGTAAATTAGCCCCAGTCTCATTCACTTCGCATCGTCTAAATTACCTGAAATAGAATAATCATCGCTGCTTCATATTTTTACAAACAATGCACACAAACTTTTTCAGTTTAATAAATTCTCATGTAATGTAGGATTGAAAGATAAAATTTTCATACTAAAAAATCTATTTTCACCATTTTCCCATTTTTCACTTAAAGTGCGCAAAAGTTGGAAGCATTATTTAATTACTTTTATATGCATACCTGTGGATTCATTTATGCTGGAGTGAAAATTCTGCCACTTGAAGAATATGCCCGTATGTTTGAATGCTAATATGCAAACCCTGGTTCTATATATGTATGTATTTATGCTATGAAAATGACAACACATGAACTATGTATGTACATAAGTATTTATTTAGTCTGTCATAGTCAAGTTATACATATGGCGTTTCCTTGTCCAACGACGTAGTGTTCTTTAATCAGAAAGTATAAAGAAAGTTGTGCCAGAATATAGGGGGCATTAAGTGGAATGAAAAATTAGGATTGGTGTTGATTTTCTTGCTGTGGAGGAAATGTGTGGAGAAAGTTAGGAGACCTACGGGAGCAGTGACTTGGGAGTAATTTTATTTATTTTGCTTGTCGTTGGAATGTCCGAAAAGAGAGTTGCTGATATTTTGCTGCTACATGTTCACAGAAAGATGAAGACTCGTCCATGGACCTGAGCCAGGTTGGGGTCGGCAGAGAGACTGATGAACTAGAGAGCAATGTAACGAGGAGTAGCTTAAGCCTCGTTCCGTCCTACGGTAAGTTCACGCCCGGTTTATACTTTCACCCTTCGTCGCAAAATAACATGGGTGGCAATTGTTGCGATCCCAACGATTGGGCGACGAGTGGTGAAAGCATAAACCGGGCGCACGGCTTAAGTTAACTGATTTATGCGTGATTTAATCCATATATATTTATATACATGAATCAGATGATGACGGTGAAAAAATAACATGTCGAGCAGAAAATCCATGGGTGCCACGTAATTCCGGGAGCCAAGTGGAGGACTCGTTGGTGCTTCATGTCGTTTGTAAGACAACCATAAATCTATCCCGTTCACTGAGATTTTCCAATTTAGCAATTCAGCTTCCTTCCTCATTCAGCCGCTCAGTCGGTTCCTCGAATGAATGTGCCCCACATTCGTTTTTGTTTGCGAACAAGAAGTTACCTGCCAAACAATCTCGCCCTGTCATTGCTTGTAGGAAATGACGGACAAGATACGAAATGTGACGCATTTGTTTTCTTTTAGATTTGTCCTTTTAAAAATGATGAGAAAACTTGTACTTTTTAGCAAATCTAAATACGAATATATACATATGCAGCTCTCAATCTTTTTTGATGAGTTTTAAAACGGATTCATTTTATTTTTTATAGATCCACCCCAACCAGTTCTGAAATTGGGGACACCGCTGAAGGAGACCGACTTGAAAGAGGGTGACGACGTCTACTTTGAGTGCCAGATAAAATCGAACTCTCCAATTCATAAGCTGAAATGGATGTTCAATGTAATCCTTATTTCAGATTTTAAAAAATAGGTTTAAACTGATGTATGCAAAATGTGCATAAGCATTTTTCATAATATATTTCAAAATCACTCGCAGTGCAAACTTGACGTTACCCGATGCATGAGTTTTATCCGACTTTATAAAATTGGCATTATTAGTATACATCAATTTCTGCATATACTACTTAATTTCAACTTTTGTAGTGCTACAATTTTACTCTTCCCTGGAAAAAATGCCGAGAAGTAGACTTTATGCATATTCTTATCCCTAGATGCAATCGATCAATTCAAATTGCAAGTTTCAAATTTTTCAAAGGAATAAAGCAGATTAAAACCTGGCTCGGGTTGCATGACGTGTACCATTAATAATACACTTTAATGTGATAAGGCATGTTTGTATTACTTTACCAAGAAAAAAATACAAAATGTAACATGCAGAAAGTTGCAAGGAAAACATCCTTGTACTTTTTTTATAAATTCAAGTCACTGAAGTGAATATTGACGTCGTTGGGCCGACTTTCCGAACCCAACCATCCAATTCAACTCTGCAAGAGGAAAATGTTATTTTATTATTATTCTTTCCTCCCCAGTTGCTGTTCAGTAGCATAGAACAAGAACATGGGGAAAATCCATTGTTCATACTCAACCTGAACGGACTCATCCATCTCAACTTTTCTCTTCTCGGCATATCTATCCATCCAACGTCATTGTTTACTTCGGAACTTGTTGTTTCAATTGATTCAGAATTGCAGAACTTACAATAACAAACACAAATCCATCAATTTTTTTAGATACGTAGTGCAAACCAGTTTCCTCAACATTTTTCTTTCTAAAGCCAACATCTATCCAATTTTTTTGAATAACCGACTCAGCAATTGGTATGCTATGGGTGGCTACTTTCTTTCAGGATCTTCATAATCTAACGAACCAGAAGATGAGCAAATAAATAACAGAACGTTTGCATAAGAGAATAAATAGCCTTTGTAACGGATGTCACGCTAGCAATCAAATTGTTTTATGTCGGCTCAAGTAGTGAAAACGTGAAATGAAGGCATGTTGATAATGCATTTCAAACATTGGAATGCAATTTATAGAATTTTGAACGTGGCATTAACTACGTGTCAACAAATAATCTTCAGTCAAGAATGAGCATAATAATGCAACGATTCACCTCAAGTGACACTCCTATTCCATGACATGGTGGAATTTGCTGATTATAAGTGAAAATGAGGAAAACATGGAAGGGAGAAAGCCTCCACGTTGTTTAGAAGGCGTAGGCCTAACATCGAGTAAACCTGCTGGATGCAATTATGTAAATATTTCAGGGTGCACACAATGAACATGCAAGAGCAAACGTTAAGTAACGTCTGATAATGCATAAATACGAGTGTTTCATAAGTTTCAAGAACCCCAACCAACCAACCAACCAGCCTTGCTAAATATGTACAAATACCCGAGTGCTGTGGAGCAATCATGTAATGAAGAGTTTGTTTTTCCTTTGTGTTTTGAACAGGATCGTCAATTACAACACAACGTTACAGCCGGTGTTATTCTAAGCAACCAAACTTTAGTGCTCCAGCTGGTTACGAGAAGGAACGCTGGAAATTATACATGCCAGGTACGCAGGGTGCCGTTTGTATACGGTTTATGATGTTGTAATGAACCCTTATTGTACATACAGTGCACATGTTTTTCGTTCTTGATCTTTTGTTCGTCGGCGCAAGATATCAAGAATTTAATTTATGTTGTCCAATTTTTATTGCGTCTCGAAGAATTTTTTCCAACTTATTTCATTTAACGCAACATCTGAAGCATTTGAAACCCTATCCACAGGCATCCAATATGGTGGGAACAACGGTCTCCAATGTATTTCCTCTCAGGATTCAATGTAAGTGTCTCTCTCACTTTATTATGTCATACGTTATCGTGAACCAAATTTTGGCTGAGTCTTCGCCTCCAAACTAGAACAATCTCGGGTTTGCAAGAAGCTGGCCTCATACTTTCCCACTTGGGCTCTTAACCTAAGTGTTGGAGAAAGGCGTGTAAAGCCGCAACTAATCTGCGTCGTCTGAAGGGATTGTGGAAGAGTAAAGACTGGAAAATGAAAATTCAGGGAAACTGTGCCAGCTTTCTTGAGGGAAAGTTTTTTATGAATCAGGTCAACACTTTTTTTATCTCACGTGTTACCTATGCAAGTGTGTCCTACTACCAAATAAAATCACGAATCGTTTAGAGCCAAATAGCAAGTCGAGCCTTATGAACTTGAAACGGAAACATTACAGCAGAACAAAAATTAAGTATATTTACACATGCTGACCATGAGCTTGTGCGAAATGTATGTTTGGCAAATACGATTTGCGTGCATAACTTTCACTTGGGAATTGGTGTAACCCGAATAAGTATGTTAAATACTTATTCAGTCCATACTCAGTTTCAAAATAATTATAAATCGCTCTTGTTGCGTACACATTGGTGCTGTTTAGGTGGTGCCCTCGTAGATCTGTAGGCCTGTGGGCACGTACAGTACTAGTCTATCAATCATGTCATAATTTCATGCACAAGTCACAATTTTACGTTGCAATTAAATATGTATGAAATAGAATTACAGTGCAATCACGGACTGCCTCTCGGACCCTTTAATACTTTTATCTCAAGGCGAAACTACTGGCATTTAGAAATCTTGAGCCCAATTAACATATCTACTCGAAGCTATTTCCTAGAACAGTTCAACTAAAGGCAGAGGACAATTTTGACGTGTTTTACTTTCCCCTTTACGCTATAAAGCTAAACAGAGTCACACGCACTCATTTCCTGTCCCCTGCAACTTGTGTGTTTACAGGTTGAACTTTAATCCATTCGTCAACTAGGGCTGGTAATTCTCACAGATTGAAATATCAATATTTGACTGTTATGCAGCATAACTTTATGAGTTATTGACCAATATTATTCTTGACGAAAGGATCTTTCCCGAATATTTTGAATTATGTAGTGGGTGGCACAAATATTTCTGAGCTGGAAGTACTCATGACGTTAATACGTAATTACACTTTTAAACTCTCCTGACATGAAATAATTAGCCATGCATAGGCTGAGGTGAAATGAAATATTGTTGCAATTTAATATAAATAAGTACATAAATGCCAGCAATCAGGAACAGTATGTATGTACGGCATCAGTTTTAAAGTTTTTTTGAATAAGTATGGCATAAAAAAACAGGCCCAACCTTTCCATCTATTGCTATGAATGTTTTATCCATATTTTGCTACGTGAGTATGTTCTTCAAACGACTGGAACTAAACCACCAAAATTTGCAAACTTTGAAAACACGGAAATGTCTACTTGAATCTTGTTGATATAGGAAACACTGTGTGCACATGACAATTAAACTTTCATGTAACTAATTATAACGTCAAGGTCTATAATTGGTAGCACAAAAGTTAGGAAATTGAGACTTTCTTTACTTTTATCCCTCGTCTGAAACACTTGAAGCAGACAGGCCTCTGCTAACCTCAACCCTAGAGACACGTGTTTTTAAGGTAACACAGACACTACTCTGCAGATTCTAGCATATAATCAAGTACACATGTGCATATCTACGTATGTTGGTATCAGGTTTACATTAAAGAGTTCTGCCTTCATTTTCTTCCTCAATTTACTACAAGCTAAAATTAATAATTCACTCTAAATTTCCTTCTACCATCTGGAACGGTTTTGTTTGCAGAAGTCGTGGAGAAAGTACAATGTCATTTACATTTATTATGGTGTTGACGGTATGAAGAAAGAGGTCAAGCAAAACGTAAAATGTGAAAACTAAACGCGTAAATTATATTTAGTAGTAAGCAAATACTTAATAATCTAGGCGTGAGCATATTGTAAAAGTCTCGTGTACAACCACCTGGCAACCATAAGGAGGCATACGTACATTTTTTTTAATTACCATTGTCTAAGGATTTGAGTGTAATTGGATGACCTGGAATACTCTCGTTTAGCTTAACAGAATGCGTATATGCATTATGTAAATCTAACCAAACTAGGATTTTCCTCTAATTAAAACCAGTTGTCCGTTGTGGATTTTATTTATCTGTAGATGCCTGCTTCCTCTCTAGAATCTTTCGCTATTTAATTCAGAGTATCACGAATCCCTAATTAGGCCCTGCATAAATTGTGGTTCTAATACCAAAGAATACATAAAGCAGCACAGGAAACAATTATCTAAATGAAATAAATATTAGAGTTGTAAATTGGAGCTAGATAAATACATTTTATTGATATTTTTAAATTTCGACTGGACAATTAAACTCTTACAAATCTGCATTGACAAAAAGACAAATGATAAGAAATAATACTTGCATGGATAGAAGATAAGTATTTAAGATTAGAAATATTACTCGAGTAGAAACGTGTCCTAGTAAACTCGGAAGTTATGTATTGCGTTTCCAGTCTTCCATTTTTCTTCATCTTCTTGAACCGAACGGTCGGAATGAGTATGAAGGATGAATAAGAAAGATGGAGTGGATGTGGATAATAGAGGAAAGAAATTGAGAGCTGTGAAAATTGGTTGGGAAAGAAAACTTTCATCTTGTGTCTTGGGATCGTCGTCCGCTACCATTGCTCCCTCCTAACCCTCCAGAATATGAATCTCATCCATATTATCCATGTCGCTTTCACCACCTCCATAAAAAGAATTTCAGAATTCGACCCGAATCCTCCACTCTCTCGGAGGTGCAACTATCATCATGCTCCTTCTCTCTGGGTAATAATAAATGAACCAAAACTCGTCCTTCCTGTGTTGAGAAGAAATTATGAGAGTTTTCTTTCTTAATAATTCCTTCCTCTTGAATGAAAATGCAATTTCACCTCCCGCTCAATATTATTCGTCCTATCGACTCGAATTTTTGGTTATCCACGAGGGTTGATTTATCAGAATTCATTTCAAGGCAAGTTTGTGCACTTTGTTTGAAACTGTGATCATTTTTAATAAGTAGGACTATATATGCATGCACACATGCAACTAATAAAAACTAATAAAAAGTAATGTCAATATATTTATATCCTCACTTTGTAATGTATAACCTAATTCGTTGGTTGGCATTCTACAAGTGAAATTAATCTGACTGATAAGATAAAAGTTGAATGGGATGAGTGCACTTGAAAAGCAAACTCTAGAAATCCTCAAATTCTCCCCTCTCATGGTGTCCTAAAAAGACCATTACAGTTCATCCCATGGGTTTGAAACTTGAAATGCAATATGAGAAGGCAAATAGCACTTGAAAGGGAAGTGCGTACGCTCATAATATTATCCAATTTTAATACCAGAGTGGGGACGAAGAGGTGAATGTAATGAGCTGAGGAGAAAAGGCAAAAGTGCTCAAGCGAAATTCAAAAGCTCAAAAGAAACGGATGAAATGTGAACTTGAAAAATCTTCATCAATTGAAGATTCAAAGTGAGAGGAGAAAGAAAGCGATGTGAATGCATTGATGAGATAAGATTCCAATTTCTTTCGGCTGCACCTCCAAAGCCACGAGCGGGCCATACCTCCAAAATTCTCTTCCACCTTATTCATTCGTACGTGCATACACATCTGCAGTAGTATCCTCCACCTACAAGTATTTGCATGTATACTCAGCTACCGGGCTATGAGTGAACTTGTTCCCTTCAACCAACAATTTGAATTGAATTGTGTGCGGTGGGATGAAAATAAGTGGGAACAAGATATCCATCTCACCATTACGACACTCAATAATGTAGAAGAGGCAAAAGCGTTCTTTCTTCTTTGACAACATAGTATCTATATTTGATCTGGCAAACGAGAAAACTTTCTCCCCGCAGTTGACTTTGTTTGATGCACAATGCTGCCAGACCAGGCTACGTGGTGAGGAACGTCAAAGAGTAAAACTTGCATTATTATCGTGTCCTTGGGAATCGTAACTACTTGGTTGGTTACAAATGATTGAATTGTTTTTCAAATTGTAAAAATATAATGCATATTGGACATTTTATGTGTCCCAGACCGGGATGATGGTTCGACATATTTTATGGGATTCTTACTAGGATTTGAAGGATCCAAATCCAATGCATGATAACACAGTGGTGAATCCATGTAACTGGAAGAAGTGCAGCCAAGACGATTACGATATACGTACCTACGTATGCATATGTCTGGCTGTGTGATGCATATGTAGTTCGTGGATATTGATCTGGGAGCAATTTCGGAATTTTTACATATCAGTGTCAAGCCAGGAGAAAACGAAGCTGCTTCTGAGATGATCCTTCGACGATAACCATCATAACCGTCATAACCATGTACTCAATTTTGAAATACTAAAGTATGTTATAGATTTTCTGGGTTTCATTGATCGTGTCTTTAGTTAGTATCCATTCGTGGCTGTTTTGATGAGGAGATTCTTAATTCCTCGCAGCTTTTTCTGTGCTTCTCACCCACACCAGGATCAGATTTGAAGCACCTGTATCATTTCCGCGGAAAATGAGCTACGTGGTCATGATGGTGAATACGAGCGGAGACACGTAATGCGTTATTGATGGATCCATTTTCAACACTCTGGGTGGGTGTCATCATCACGGGCTCTATCTGGCTGGAGTATATCTGAAGCAGAATAATGGAGAGATAGAGACAGACAAGAATTTAAAGTGTGGGCATGAAACCCAAGATTATAATAATAAAGGATTCTCATATCCCGGCGGTGTGGCTAGCAGTTTGGAACAGAGAGTCATTTTTATGATCCTTTCATCTTTTAACCACGATGTAAAATGCGGTATTACCACCATCCTCGTAACAGCACCTTAACATTCCTGTGTACTTTGTTGCGCTGTAACTCGAGTTGTTTGGATCAGGACCAGGAAGTATTTCACTTCACATTGTTTACCTGAGGATATAAACTTGTCAGGGATTCAGGCTTGCTGAGTGAAACTAATGCTCGGCCGCAACTTGCATGCTCATGTTCATATTTATTCCAATTCCTACCAATTCAAAACCACCACACATGGAATGAGCACTTTCGACTTTCTACGTCATCTGAATCATTCGTGATCTGTGCTGCACAAGCACTCGTGCATATTTACTTTCACATTATGCACTAATCCTAAATATTCTGCATTGATGGAATGCATATCATACAGGGTAGGATTGCAGATGTGCTTTGCAATAATTAATGTATGTAAATGCACTGTGTATTCTAATTCAGGTTGCATTGCAAAGCTGAATGCGTGGAATATTTTACATAGTTCCAGCGAGATGCTTAGGAATAAAGGGATAATAATAAATATGATGCAGTATTTTCTTAAAAAAAACTCTGGTATGATTTATTATTGGTCTAAATTGCTTTAATGTAAGCATTATCTATTGGAGATAATCCATAATGTGCTTGAGAAAGCCGAGAGACAGGAGTGGAACAAAAAATAGGTGAGTGAAACTGGGTCGGTCTTGCAGTTAAAACTTTCGGAATCCTCGGCCACCCTTGGAACAACCGGGTTATAAATACGCGGATATGGCGATGGTGGTAGTATCACTATTGGTGGATCTTCCAAACCTATTACTTTCCCCTTTTGTTGGAGGATATGAACCATTTCGCTTCCCGAACTGATACCTAACTCCCCTGAAATAACCTACTTAAGTCGTGTTTGGATGCATGGGGCTGAAATCAAGATCTTTGAAGAGCCAAATTAAAATTCTATTCACTCTTCCCATTTCAATTATCATATTGATCTAATAACATTGCGTTGGTTTTAGCAGAAGAGCACATAGCGTCGTCCCTTCGTTCGCATTTAACTAGCACTTGCTGACTACTCGAGTGGAGAGAAAGCGTTCCATCCTGAATTTCACATCCAAATACATTGCCCTACTCTCTCCTTCTCCGTCGAGATAAGGTCGTCGACCACTTCACATCTAATCTTCTTAACCTAATATCGTCCCCAGCACAATCTTGACTCAAAGTAACACTTTTCATTCTTACTAATGCGAACCAAACAAACCATTACATTAGCGTAAAAATAAATTTGTTTCGCGAAAGTGGGACGGAAAATGCGGAGTCAAATTTTCCTTTGACTTTCCCCTTACTTACTTTTGTACGAAAATCCAGAAAGAAGTAATCAAGTGTCTGAAGAATAAACAAAGAACAAATAAATCCTCCACAGAAGCTGCCTACATAATTGGAATATTCACAGAAACGTAAGAATTAAATGTGCCTATACAATCCCAGCGGGAGCAGTACGTCATACAAGTACATACTTGCAGTTAAGAAAGAGACAAGCAGACACATAGTTGGAAAAACTGGGTTAGCCCATGACATGAACATCCTCATGTAAAATTGCAAATCAATATGCCAGTATTGTTCGTTTTCCCAATAAAAAGGCGAAGAGCCAACAACTGTGTGGTGGTGGGAAAGAATGACACTTCCGACATTGTTCAACTCCTCAGTCAGAAGCGAGCTTATTATGCACATAGTTGATGGTGCATCGTGTCACATATGGTTAATGCCACTTGAAACGGAAAATAGTTAACGGTGCGAATGTCTTACTCCCAAGTGATGCATTTAACATTTTATAAAATCAATGGGTTCAAGTGTTCCAAGAACATCTATTTTCCGTATCAGCCATTCACTCACGAGAGTAAGGTCGAGGACTCGTACTATCCATATGTATGCACTTACGCCAAGCAAAAAAAAAGTGGCTGTTGAATTTTAAATGGTCTTCATCGTGGCCTACGTATGGTGTTCGTCTTTCTGTGTGTGTCAGTGTGGTGGAGAGGTAAACGCGAGTTTGAGCTACTTTGAACTCGGTTTTCTCCAAAAGCATTCTTTGCAGGCGGACTATGACACGTTTTCATGCTGCAAGTTGGGATTTGTTTGCTGGTTAGATAAGGTGCACCAGGGCTGCCAATGTAATACATCGCATGTTCATCTCAATTCAGCTGTGTCATTCATTTCAGAGACGAGAGGGAAGAGTAACTGGGGAAGTTGCAAGCTCAGAAATGCCAAGGGTGGAGGAGTGAAAGCGAGAGCATGGCTGCGAGAAGAAAGCCTTCTCAATCATTATTAAGTATTGATCACCTAAACAATTGATGTCTACTCGAGCCCGTGAAAGAGTTATACCTCAAAACCCTTGGCTTTTATTACCTTAGCGCCACCAGCCGATGCCTTTTCCTCCTCACTTATTGGCTTGGTTTACGCTATGGACATAGCTCATTTATTGGGAACACTACTCACAATTTGCACCAAATGCTCTATCAGGAACAAGTAGTCGAAAATAATAAAAGTGTTTATCAACAATCCACAACACTTACATGTTCAGGCCCACGAGAGAAATGAAGTTAATGGGCGATTAAATTCAATGAAAATGGAATAAGAATAAGAACAGTGTTTGCCCAGTTCGAAGAGTGGGGATTAATGATGGAGGGGAGCAAATGCATTTCCGACTCTGTGCCGCGATAGCGTTGTCCACCAAGAAACCGCAATGCTGTGAGCTACCTCGCTCTCCGTCACAATATGTGTTTGGTTTCCTGGGCAAAACCGACCAAATGGCTATTAGAAGACAATGATAAATAGCCTACATCTCTCCTTCATTTTCCACAACATCCTGTGGTCTAACAACGTTTGGACAGTGTGGAGTAGGTTTTGGTCCCATTCATAGCCAATAATAGTGAATATGGGGATGAGTTTGGTTGACTGGTGTAGGCCAGAGGAATGGCTAAGACTAATTTTGACTCAAATTGTGGCTAGTAAATACAATTAAGTGCAGTTTGATGAACCATGTACATATTTCTGATATTTCAGTTTGAATAGCAACTTTTTTCATGTGCAGGTAGATATGTATGTATACTCATGCAACGATTTCCTTAGGAATTTCAGTGGAAGTGGCATTTTACATATTGGAGAAAGTAAAGTATAGTTCTTAAAGGTATAACTGTGTTTTACGAGCTTGACGTTGTAATTATTGCTATTTGATTGGCATTTTCGCTTAAAAGTGGCTATTCAAAATTTTAATTTCATTGAATAGTCCAATATCCAAGTGGTAATTGATGTGTTACTCGAAATAGAACCAAGAGGGAAATTAAATTAATGAGTTTGATGTCAAATGCCATATTATTAGTCTGGCATTATACCTTGCAATTTGAGGAGTATTTCTGTCAGTCTTCGTCGTAGCTGAAAAAGCTGAAAGTTACCTTTTAATTTAGAAATATAGTGGACATTAGTCTCAAGGATATGTTTAAGGATTATGCAATCGACTAAAACTTCAGGGCATTGAACAGAACTATATACGACCATACGACTCGTATGTAAGACCTGAAAGAAATGAAGTCTAATGGAACTGAACAATCTGTCATAATCGAGTACATGAACTTGTTAATTAATTTTTTACGGCCAATTCGGCTAGACCAAACACAACTGTGTTCATATCTCACCAACTTTCTCTTTTTTTGGATAGATGCACCCGTATGCAAAAGTGATAAGAGCGAAGTGGTCGGAGTGTCCAAGGGAGAGCGAGTGTCAATCAAATGTGAATTGGACTCAGACCCGGAAGACGTCAGTTTCAGGTTTGCGATAAAACAAACATTATTTATTGAATCCCTTATGTCATTCTGTATCATTGCACACATGGCTATGAGGAAAGTCTGGGAACTATTAATTAGCAATGTCGCACTCTTTTTCAGATGGGACCTGGCTTCATCGGGTAAGGTTGACCTAAGATTTATACATATGCATCATTTTTAGAGGAGAATGCGCTGATGCGGAGTATTCGTGGTTTATGAAGAACCTGCTTAACTTTCTCCTTTTCCTCCGTTGTTTCATTTCTCCAGGACAAATGGTCCAAGTTCCGCCCTCTAGATTTACCAGCATGAAGAGATCCAGCATTCTCTACTACTCACCAGTCTCCAACCTGGACTACGGGTCTTTGTTCTGTCGGGGAACAAACCATGTCGGTAAGACGCGGATCGATGTCAATATAATAATATGGGAATTGCTTCATGGTGTAAATGAATACTCATTATACACACATTACAGCTAATTAAGTCGTTTAGCAAATATCCACTCATTAGATCAATTAGCTTATTGCATACCACTCAATTATTATGCAAGGTCAAAAATAGGAGTAGAAATAATTACCAATTACCAATGTTAAATACACTAGATCACTACTTTCTCCTCACTCCTCACGCATATTATTCCTGCTTCTCAAATTCAACTTTTTGTTATTCATTTTTCCTGCAACTGTACAATTAAGAGATAACCCGAAATCTAGGAACTTTTAAACCACCACCGCCACTCATTTGCGTAGATTTTGTGCATAAATATATTGAATAATTTAATAAATAGATTCCTCTGGTCTCACCATTTTAATGAATTGTGGTAAAATTAAATTGAACTAAAACTAAAGAAGAAACCTTAAAAATGAGACGCAAAACTTTGTTCCAATCTCATAGGAATGTGTATAAATCATAAAGAGAGCAAAATAACATAATAGATGCATCGCATTATTATCTATGTAGCTTTCTTCATCAGTTTTTCCATACATGGCAAGATACTGCTCGCTTACCAACCAACCAACAAAGCATATGTTGTTACAGGTCCAAACTACAAATAGTTCCTCATAATATGCATTAATTTGTACACATATCTCGTTTTTATGTGTATTTATTTGTAATGTTTATTTTTCACTACACTCAAATTTTCATATGTTGAGAGAAAGATCATTTCCAACTCGTCGCAATCCCGTCTAATGCAGTTGCAACGAACTAAAATCCATTTTGTTTGAATTTCAAGGCATTCAGATGGCTCCGTGTGTCTTCCAGATCGTGGCTGCCGGTGAGTCTTTCTCCACTTTCACCAGACAGAGGGCGTGAGGCGGAGGAAATGCTTTCTCCCATCGACTCACGCTTTCACCCTCTGTCATACTTTCCACAACGCTTTCTACAGTTCATTTTTACATCGGTTATCGCAGTTTTTTAAACCATGATATCACACTTCGCCATCGTATCCTTGCTATATTAGTGTTAAAAAGAATTTCATTTAATATAATTTATTGTGCATTTGATTCACATCTTGGGTGCGTACATCTGTATAAAAATGTGACAATATGGTCGCATTTTTGGAGTTCATATACGTATTTCCGTAGATACATCTACATACACACAGCCCTCGTCCCACTCGAAATATTATACCAATGAAATCATGCAGCTCACATCCCTTTAGATTTACGAGTGAAGCTAATGAGCAATAGAGGGGAAAAGTTGAACGCTGAATAAAAGTAGAAAGTGGAAATAGAAAAAAGAACGCGAAACGGAAGTAATAACATTTGCCTCCCAGACCGCAATATTTCATGCGTGTAAGTTCTACTTAAATGCATTGGCTATGCGATATTATGGTTTTTCCGTTTCACAAAAATTAATCTCCCCATTTCCAGATTTTACATGCAGGAAGCGCAGCTTACTAGTTAGAACAAGTCAAACGTCCCATTCCATATGGCTCCGTATCCATATCGCTCTCCTTTTTTTTCACTCCCAAGAAATGCAGCCACTTCGTTGCGTTAATGCTACCACGACCACCAATGAGCTGAGTTAACAATATTTGGAATTGCAATGCTTCCTGCTATTTGCCACTCACAATCATGCCATGCCGGTGGCAGTGTTGTAGTGTCAAAGCTCTCCCCCCACCCCCCGCGGGGAAAGTTTATCGTGCCAGTAAAATCAACTGACCTGATGAACATTGATCAATGGGGCTGCTGTTGCTGTTGAGAAGTGCACAAGTTGTTAAAAAGATATCGCATGGACTCCAGCTCGTAAAACAAATTAGAGTTGTAGCCAATGGTCGACAAGGTGGACACCATGTGATGGGGACATAAATTAGTTTGGTGCGAATAAAAATTAATTGATGGGAGTTTTTTATGAGTAGTTAAATTTTGTTGGGATTGTGTTGTTTTACAACTGGAACAAGAAGCTAATTCACCGCTTTCGTTCACAAAGTATCGATTTGCTATTTCAGGTACTACCAGTACGATACCTACGATATGTCGATATGTACATACGGGTGGGAAAATTATATACATTGATACGTCCTCACGAAGCTTTAGTAATCAACGAAAGTTATCTGCTTCCAATGAAACCCAATACATGAGCAAAGAGATGATAGAAAAGCTTCTGTCTGGGCAACTAAATATGATCCTGATGACAGTGTTACGAATAGGATTGGCCAAATTTGGCAATGTATAGCCGTTCATAAATAAATAGGCCGCTAGTATCTGGTCCAAACTTTATAAATAGCCCTCAATAAATGGAAAGTGGAACAAGTATTAGAGGATGAAACTTGTGCCACATAAATACCAGCAAGTGACATTCTGTCATGTTTTCAGAGAAACCATCCCAAGTGACAAATTGCACTGTGTTTAACGAGACAAGTGAATCAGTGGAATTGAGGTAAGAGTTGAGGTTTCACCGTAACGTTTCTCAGTTATTTAATATGCCGACTTTAATTCAATTCTTGAAGCGTAAAAATAAGTAGCATTAACTGAGTAAATATTAATAATTAAGTATATTACTAATTCCCCACGCAGCTGTGACGAAGGCCATGATGGAGGTGCCTGTTTAATTACATTTATTAAATTTGACTGAATATGTATGTAGAAATCATAAAAGTAAAATATTGACTTTCTCCATGTGCAGGTCTCCCACAACATTTTGTGTTAGAAGTGTTTGACAGTGACTCTTCCGAAATGCGCTACAATGCATCGAGTAATATGCCGTCATTTCATTTAGGAAACTTAACAGTAAGTGGCTTGAGACTTTTTTAAGTATTTTATGAGTATCTGTATAAGCACGAAACACGACCATTTGGCCGTACCACAGCATCTTTGGATGTGCCGCTGTGTACAATGATACAAAAACGTGTCAAATTATGTACAATAAATGCTCGAACAAGATTATCTCATTCCTTGAATTTTCACTTCATTTACATTTAATTTAACATGATAAGTTTTCTCTTATTTATTTTACAGCCTATTGGCAAAGGATTTCGCGTGTTGGTCTATTCTGTGAATGCCAAAGGACGAGGAGAACCTCACCGTATTGATGAGCTTGTCATAAGACAATCGGAAAAGTATGCAGGTATCATAGCACATACAATAATAACAATAATACTTTCCTTTGATTTTTCTTCCTCCATAGTCATATTAAATCATTAAATCAATGAAAATTCTTTGACTTTGATTTTTTGGGGTTTTCAAAAAGGAAAAAATGAGATTGACATTGCGATTTCTTATTTCATTCCAGTAATATTTTGCACAAATACCAGCCTTCGTTTCATTTTCTAACCACCATATTTCTGTGTAAAAAAATGTAAGCAATGTCTGTGTGACAAGAGAATTTTCCAATACATTCCGTGCAAGAACAACCCAGCCAGAACCCGATGTTAAAATAACGTTGACACAACCGTTTTAAGGTGCGATTTGTGCACTGTTACATTAAAGAGCAGAAAAAAAACGAAATCAACATTGACACTATGTTACGCAAGCCAGGTTTATCAACAGTGCATCAGCGCATCATTTTCACGTTGCTGAAACGCGTTGAGATAGTGTCTCAACGCGTTTTCACTGTGAATCCGCAGCGCTGATTTTACTCTTATTCAACGTGAATTACAGCTGCTGTGATGATTAAAATCACACTTCAGAACACGTTCCGCCATTTTAACCACGCATTCCGTTCCACACATTTAGTGAAGTTAATCCACACTCTCAATTTTTCTAATCGTTCAAGATTTAGTTAAATAATTACAAATTAATTTAAATTAAGTTAAATGGGACCTAAGCACCAAGTGAAAAGCCCATTTGTTGTCGTGCTGTTCCCGAATGAAAACTCTGTTGAGGCAATCCCGTCATCTCTTCTGTTCGATAACGAAACAAAGTGTAAATGGCCAAAGAAGGTCACTCCGGCTTTTAGTAATAAGAAAAAGGACAAAGCATTAAGGCCTGGCTCGGATTGGGATGATTACGATTGTCGAGTTTTAGAACGATTTGGTAGTTTTCAATGTTATTTATTCAATTGATTTAATTAATAATAATTTTGGTAACTTATTTTATATAGCTACATATGAGGAGGCCACTGATGGATTGAAATTAGCTGAAGCTACGTCAGATATCGAAACTAAATCAGATCAGCAACAGCATAGGACCAGAAAAAGAATTGCTTCTCGGCCATCCCCAAAATCAAATTCGTCAGCCGGATCAGATGAGGAGGAGGAAATACCGGTCATTTTGAATCCTAGTGTTGTGGTCTCAGCCGAAGATGATGCCGACTTTAGCCCAGAAAGCATTGTTGAGCCGGATGGAAATTTTCTTGGTAATTTTTTTGCTGTTCAATGATATATTAAAAGTATATTATCGTTAAAACCTGATGAATTGTTATTTAGTACCGCCAAGTGTTTCGGTCGCTCCTTCAATAACCGTGGCTCCAGCTTATCAAGTCGCGGGGGATCATCAACAATTTCAGCAGTCCTCTCAAACCATTCTTTTGAATTTGGATGGTTCATTTAATTTAAATTCTCAAAATACGGCCCTTTCACACCCAGCAACAGTTTCTATCCCTGTGCCAGGGCCATATACAACCAGCAGTGGAGACTTAACTTTGGGTAAAATTGTATAACTATAATCGATTTTTGAAACAATTAACCTATTGTTTTATTACTTGGTGTAAACTAGTTTATTTGTAATTTCAGGATTTCAGCAGGTTGTTATCAATCATCTTGCAGCAATTGAGAAGGAACAGAAAGATATTCGGGGGCTTCTAACAGAGATTAAAAGGAATCAAGAGTCAGGAGTGTCGCCAATTGCTAGGCCTGTGCTGGATTTCTCTACTCTTCCTCGATTTCCATTAAATAACGAGGGAGAACTTGGCGCCTTTGAGACACGACTTCAACTTGTGGATGAATACAATTTATTTGTAATTGCTTAATAGTTCAATTTAGTTCAAATCAAGTGTAATTTAATTAATGGTGGATCATTTTATATTTCATCGTTAATTTAACAGGTAGAATATTTGATTGGAATTGGAGGAAATGACCTCAAGGAAACAGTGACAGAAATCTTAAAACGTGTTTTCAGTAAAGAAGTGAGAATTCAACTGAGCTACACTGGAAAGGGGCTGAACAAAATCTCATACTCTTCGTTTATCAAAATTAATGACGCTTTAATCGGTGAGTATAAACCCTACATGTAAAAATATATATGCTTTTGAGTTACCCTACTAATTAGTAACATTTTTATTTTGCAGCGGCAACTAGACGAAACAGAAAACTTGTAAATTCATTAGGAGGAATCACAGAAATTCAGATCAAGCAAATCATTATGGACAAAATTCGTTTCAGTCGTAAATAACTATTGTGTGGCATTTTATAATATTGTCTATGAAGATTATAAATTTATAGTAGGAATTATGTCAGCGAGTAGAAATAGAAGACGGATAATTCAATCAAATGTTATGAAAATACAACAGGAAATTCACGATAAGGTGTTAGCTCAATCTAATGTTTCCGAAGAAATGGAGCAGCCTGCTTTAATGTTGGAAGAAGATGAAGTAGGGTCAAACTGTCAGATATTTTTACAACCAAATTCTAAATTAAATGAGGTCCCATTAATTTTAAATTCTAATCTAGTTGAGGGTGACGAATTAGAAGTTGACTTAAAAGACAGGTTAGCTAATTGGGCAGTACAGCATAATATTACGTCAACTGCCATTGATGATCTTTTGGGCATTTTATCTGCACATGTGACAGGTTCTAATTTACCAAAATGTGCTAAGGGTTTAGTGGGGACTCCAAAAAATTATGAAATTAGCGAGATTCAGGGTGGTTCATATCATCATTTTGGGCTGAAACAAAAATTGTTATTCTTATCTAAGGTGTTTACAATACCAAGGGATGGAGTGCTTTGGATAATCCTAGGAATTGATGGATTACCAATTAGTAAATCTAGCAAAAAACAATTTTGGCCAATTCTAGGGCGATGTATCAACGTAGCGAATAATGTCCCATTTTTAATTGGTTTATATTACAGCGATAATAGCAAACCTGTGGATGTCAGCGAGTTTCTCCAACCATTTGTAACAGAATTTAAGAAACTGTCACAGGAAGGAATAAGAATTAATGGTATTCTTTATCAAGTTAGACTACAGTGCATAGTTGCAGATGCCCCGGCAAGAAATCTTATTAAGCAAACTTCAGCATTTAATGGTTATAATGGTTGTGACCGTTGCATTGATAAAGGCGTATGGTTAGGTCGCGTGGTATTTAAAAATTTACAAGCGGATTTAAGGTCAGATATTGGATTTGTTGGGCAGGAGGACGCCAATCATCATGTAGGTATTTCCCCATTAATTGGGCTAGGCGTTGGCATGGTTTCTGGGGTTGTTCTTGATTACATGCACCTTATTTGTTTGGGAGTTGTTAAAAAGCTATTGAAATGCTGGAAAAGAGGACCCATGCACAAGGAAGGGAAGTATACAATATATGAAATTTCAGATAGACTGATTCAACTTAGAAAATTTGTTTGCTCGGAGTTTAATAGGAAGCCAAGGCCACTCTCGGAGTTGGAGTTTTGGAAGGCGACAGAGCTCCGAAATTTCTTGTTGTATTTTGGCCCATTTGCTTTAAAGGGTTTACTTAGTTCTGAAAAATATGAGCATTTTATGGCTTTAAGTATTGCAACAAGAATTTTGCTTTCAAATAATCGTAATTGGTATAATTACGCCCGACATTTAATGTTTGAGTTTACAAAAAATATTGGTAAGCTATATCATGATCAATTTTTGGTTTACAATGTTCATTCGTTAATTCATTTAACGGACGATGCTGATAAGTTTGGGTCGTTGGAAAAGGTCAACGCTTTTGCTTTTGAAAATAGTATGCAGTCTTTGAAGAAAATGTTGAGGGGTAAGAGTCGTCATCTTCCACAAGTTATTAGGCGGGTGATAGAGTTAGAAAAGTCTAATGTTTCAAACACAACGTTTAGGATCGAAAACAATCTCCATATATCAAAAAAAATTAACGATCGTGGTTGTATTCTAAAAACTGGTTGTGTTGTGATTGTTGTTAAGAAAAGTGAAAATGATTTTGTTGTGAGAAAGTTTAAAGGACAATCAGAGTATTTTACTAAGCCTTGTAAGGGTTCCAAATTTATGATTCAAAAGGTATTTAATTTAGCTTTCCGTTCAACAACTATAACTCAATCTGAAATAAGATGTAAAGTTATGTTATTTCCTATTAGTGCAGATAACTCTTTTTTCTGTGTCCCGTTATGCGAAGAGTAAAAGAAGTTTTAATATTTAATGTCTTAGTATAATAAGTTAGATATAATAGATATTTAATATTTAATGGATAGTTTTAATTTTGTTCATGAAAATAATATTGTTATTCATTTTGTTTTTGGGTACGATATGAATAAATAAATTCATGAGAAAAATAACATTTTTGTACATGATTTTAACGTGCAACCACCCTGTACTGAGCACCGTGCAAGCATAAACATTGTGACAACGATAAGCCAATGTTACACTTTGTTGCAATGCACGGCCAAGTCAAGTTTCACCAATGTTGATAACATGCTGTAGCCACGACCGGGCACAGTGCTCACACCATTATGCTCCGCCCTCTTTGTAACATTAAACTAACACGCTTTAGGCGGACATCATACGTAGTGCATCAACACTGTTGATCTAACGTTATTGTAACGTTCGGGTTCTGGTTGGGAAGTCTGCTTTTATCTCGGGATTTGTCCTACCAGATTCCATCTCTTTTATTTTCTTGTTCTAAATGTATGCCCGTCTTATTTCTGCCGCACACATGGAAGGAAGGGTGGCGATGCTTAGGATATATGCTTCATTTTTAAGGATTAGCTTAGAAGCAGACTTGCTTTGAATATTTTTTGGACTCGCTGTCAATCTGGCTCAGACAGATTTTGTAATGACGTTGTGATCAGACGATGATAATATCCGTAGAACCCGCACTAGAACCCGAGTTTCAATACTCCATATGCATCCAAATCTGAAAATTTAATGTCATGACATGCATACATAATCTGAAAGACACGACAGACTTCAATTTTTAAATTTGCACTTCACTTTCTCCACATGTTGCCTTGAATGTAGAGGCTAAGAGTTTTTAAATAAGTATTTTGGAGCTGGTTGATGATGTATGTATTTTGAAATAGAATTATTTTCCAGTCATAAGCAAAAAATGACTTATTGTTTGTCCGTTTTTTTGTCTAATAGCCGTTAAATGCAAAACTATCTTTTGCGCAGCTGTGACGCCTTCGGACTATTCATGGATTTCCTTCACCCTCTCGGTGGCCATTGGGGGCACGGCCGTCTTCCTCTGCGTCGGTTCTGTCGTCATTGTCAAACTGATCCTTTTCCGTTCACGTCAAATGAAACGAGAGTCAAGCAAGAAACATAATCACGACGACTCGATGGGGAAAACCTCATCAGCCGACCTGCAGGCTCATGGCATTCAATTTGATTCCAAGGACTTGCTCTCCACTGATGACAAGGACCCCGACATATTGGTACACATTGGACATGTTGGTAAGTAATATAAGCACATATACATATTTACATAAATGCATACATGGTGTTCTTTCATTTTCTTTTCTCAACCCCTTTTCACCTATGTATGTGCATCACTAAAAAAACACGACATGACATTCAAAATTGCCGTTCGTTTATTAGATTCCACTGAATTTGTACGTCTTATTATTACAAGGAAAGGTTTGATGAAATCTCCTGCTGCTCTATGGCGTTTTACTGTACATCAATATTAGTGCTTTCATTTCCTCCGATACTCGCACTGCGTTCCTTCACGATTGATAAGGCTTTTTTAACAGAAAAAACCTTTCTCCATGTAAATTACTGATCAGAAATGTGATATGCATGTATCTGTATGTCGCAGAGTGACGAAAATACCCACTTTGTGGTCACAATTGTTAATTAAAGTCTGCTCCTCATGATCATTCTATCGATAAAGCAATAAAGCCACTAATTTTCTTCTCATGTTCCAGAAATTCAAAAAAATAGCGAACTTATGTACATATAAAGACGTTTAGCTGTACTTTGGTGTAATGATAAATAGTGTGGCAACTAATAGGTTCAGGTTTACACCTTTCCTCCATTTATACACCCCTTTTAAACTTGAAAACGAATTTCTCAGTTTGTGGGAATGTTTACTGCACACCATTTCCAAACCAGTAGTACTTACTCGTAACTGTTGAACACTTTCAGGCGGACAAGATCATAATGTTATTTCTCCTGCAATACTATTATCCAGAGGTGCTACTTCTGCTAATGGCGATAGGCCGGGAAGATATACTGCCACTTTACCTCCAAACTCTACTTCTTCTTCTTCATGCTGCCTTCAATCAAACGTAAGTTGTTTGTGTGCAAAATGTGCACATATTACGTAATGTGTAATAAATTATGAGATAATCAAGCGAAAAGATAGCTACGCTTCTTTGTCAGTTCTCGCTGCTTGTTGATACACACATAATTGTTCGTCGTTAGAAATGAGCTGATAATCTCTTGGCTGGTTGGTTGTTTAGTGAGAAGAGTACCATAACATTCATATGCATATTGATGGTACATATCACCGTTGGAGCTTCCGAAAGCTACTCCAATGTTGTAAGAATAGGATGTCCCCCATGGAAGCTTCAGCGACGATATATCGTAAAAGTGAATCCGTGAGACAGAGTGATGTGAATGGAAGGATTGTTTGGCCATCTCGAAACAAATTTGCATAAATAAATGGAATTCGAATTGCAGATGTCATCATATCCAACGATGGATCATCACCAACTACATCCCAGCTCAGATTCGGCCTACCATTACCAAGGGGTAAATGCTCATCAACAATTCGACCGTCACCACCAGTACTATGGGAGTGACCTCGGAGGAAGCCCTGGATCCGGAGGGAACTATGCCCAACAACATCAGCAGCAGCAATATCAAATTGGACAAAGTCCGATGAACGAGCTTGATAACTTCAGTAGCATAAGTACCCTCAGACAACCCAACCACCACCACCATCAACCAACTCATCCCAGCACCGCTGCTGCTGCTACTTCTGATCCATATTATGATACCAAAGTTATGAAACAAAAACTACTGTCCGTGAACGTCCCAGAAAGTTGTGTATGATCAGCGATTTCCATCATCTCTGTGTAAGCGAAATTTGCCCAATCTCCAGTTCATCTATATTTTATTTATTTGTCTATGTGTAGTATACGTAATAAACTGGGTCTGCTAAATATTCCACAAAATTCAAGGAAAACTCAGGGTTTTCAGTGTGTATTCATAATAAATATGTAATAACTATGCATATTCTTTAAGCCGTCGCCAGTATTATTTTGTACTTGTCATCAAGAATGAATAAATGCAAATTTTAATTAAAATTTATACATGAGATTATTGAATGAGACACAATCATTATTTGCAAATGTGTTCATCCATGCAGTCTTAAAATAGGGAGAGTGTGTATGTATCTTAATACCAGCATTGTCGCTGTTCATACAAATAAATTTATTTATGCAGGGTAGCAATACGTAGGGATTGTGGTTACACAATTATGAATAGACGACTCAATTTATTCTGGGAAAAATAAAGCAAAAAATAAAATAAAACGAAGCAGTTGATGTTAGTTTTGGCAGCGGAACCCACCATCGCATCCAATAACTGCCCAAGTTGGACGTGGACTTGGAAAGTTTTCCACTAAAATCTGATAGTTGGCAGAGGAAATTAAATGAGACAATCTAAAACCACTCAAAAAATAAAAGTGCAGAAAGTAACTCTATCAAAAAGGAAATGTTGTTGTGCAGCGAGATGAAGACATTTAAAGAGTTGCTTCGGAGAGAGAGTGGGAGAGACAAGAGGTCGAAATAGACAAGTCCCAAATATTGCAGATTGTAGAGATTTGACGAGCGTCACGTTTCTCTTTTAACGAGCTCCCCGCAATTTAATTTTTCGCATTGGGAAATAAATAGCTTTTCAGAGCAAACATTAGCTCAAGATTTTTAGATTACATGACTTTTTCCCTGTGGCAGCTTTAGTAATAGAGAGGCAAGGTCTGTCGGTAACGTTGATTCAAGTTTTGTCAAGTCAGCTACATACGCACGTATTACTTCATCTACGTTGTTGCAATAATACATGTTAGTACAATTGTGCCTCTTTTTTACTTGTGGTGAAAGCAGACAACACAAAGATACCTCATTTTCACACAATTATCACTAATAATTTATGGTTTACTTGTCAATCAACACATTCGGTAGTAAAACGTGAGAAAAGATAAAGTGCCGCTGGTTCAGTTTCCTCCCTCAAGAAGGTGTTACCAAGGAAAGTTTCGCTCCTGCTTTCACCGAGTTCATAGTCGGACGGATGCACTCTCTCGCACAAATACTTTTTCGCTTCTACGTATGTACATATGCAGTCTATCCATCTCTCTTGCTCTTGGCACGACTTTTCACTTCTCGGAATTTTCTTGATGTTCAAATCTACACTGTGGATTTGTTTGACTTTGTTAAAACGCGTATATTTACAATCGTCAGGTTAGGGGCATATTTTTTCGGCAGCATTTGTCGATTTAATGAGTGCAGACAAAGTTTAGGGGTCCCCTTGGATATATTTCAGGATTTCAGGAGAGAAAGCAAGTCCATTCGTTTAGCAATTCAATGGACTGCGCCCTAGGGAAAAATTTCGTGGCCGTTTGAGAGAACTGCTTTACTTCTTTCTTTGATTTTCTCATTTCAAAATCCACCTTCCATCCCGATCTCAGGATGATGCCAGCCAGCCAACCAGCCAGACAGACAGAAAACCAACTGTGCCAGTATCACCATGGTAGCACCACACACATGCAAAGACTTGGATTCTTACATTGGGTCCTCTCTGTCTGACCCACATTTCAAGTCACTTTAGGGATATATGTACGTACATGAAATAAAATCTAAATTCACAGGTTTTTTGATGCCTTATCCAGTGCAAAATAAAAGCAGCAGGTTTATGAGAATCCTTTTGATTGTTCTCGCATACACTGCGCAATAAACAATTGTTTACAATGGGCCGACCGTTCGTTCGTGTTGGGTGCTTGCTCTGCTCCTCAGTGTGCATAGTACAAAAAATAGTACATGGGAAATGCATGTTAGCGACACATTATTTAGGCACCATTGGAGGAGACCTGAGAGCCTTTTTTTGCCAGAATGACAGACACGTCTGTTAAAAAATTCTGGAGAAAGTTACTCCCATCAGTCGTCTACTTGCTCCAACTTTCTTTTTGCATAAATTTCGTGTACATACCATTTTGCACTTGGTTCTCTGCTGGTGCTACCACGACTCCTTTTCTCCACATGCGAGCAGTTTTAACTTTATGGAAATGTAAATCTTTATAGGACACATGGAAGCAGAAAATTATTCCATCACATCATTTTATTTTTCAGCTCCGCTTCATTCTTTTATCCACGATTTAAAAGAGACACTAAGTAGTAAGCGAGGAGATGCATGAATGTGCAGAATCTACACAATGCATATCACTGCATACAAATGGGTGCCATTAGAGCTGTTGATTCATAGAAAAAAAAACGTAATATTATTGTACAATCAAGAAAATTGAATGGCTGAGTGTCTGCACAGTCACACCTTTGCAGACTTCCCACCCAGTAGGCATTCCATCCTGAGAAGTGTACACATATATTTATTTTCCCTTTAATTCTAATAAAAACAGGCTCACGTCAAAATCATGGTGACTTTCATAACTCTAATAAACCAGAGAAATTGTCGTTTATTTTTATATTTAAACACTCACTTTTCTCTACACAGGAGTTTTCCCCAAGAAAATCGCTGCTTTTTTAGTTATTATTACATGTTGCTGCTGCTGCTGCCGTATTTACATTATAACTGAGCTGCTGGTTGTTATATGCTCACATTTAGAATTTTATTATTTTTTTAGCCCATGTGAAATATATGTAGGCATGTACATCACAATCCATCCCGAAACCCGTGGAATCTACGAAATATAGGAAACAGGTAATACACTCTGTTGGGATTAAACTTGTTATTACTTGCACGCAGGAAAACTATCGACGCTTAACGTTTCCAAACCCTCTTATCGCAATTCTATTGCAACTTTTGCCGCGTGTTTATTATTGCTTTGTGCAGCAGTCAATTGTCCTCTTTATATTTATACCTCAAAGATATATTTTATATTGAGCAGAGTTGTAAATTATTTTCAGAATGAACGAATGACTTTAAGTATGATAATGTGTATGAAAAACCAAATATTCAAGTATATTTATTTATTCATTGCTATTGATCACTTTCTAATCGTAATTAAAACTGATTTATTTCTATACATTGTCAACACGGACAGATTAGGTTTAGATTGGGTAACGCGACACTCGCTCGGATTTATTTATCTCCCCTCCTCCGATCTTGCATTTCAATTTTGTAGTCTTATTAATACTCCAGCTACGTATCTACCATGCAGCGTGTGTATGTATGTAGTAAGAAAGTAGTGAGAAAGTAGTGAGAGGAGGGTGAAAGGGTGTTTTTGGCAGTGCAATTTCTCAATGTGATTTTTGTTATATAGGATTTAGTTGCTACCAAGTTGTATGCAGAGGCACGCAGAGTCGTTTAATAATAATGACAAGTGCTTGGAAAACGGTTGAGGAAATTTATTTCTTGAACCCGGAGCCACACAAAACGAGGACTTTGGTGCAATTCGCTAGAATCTAATTCCGCGTCAATGTCGATGGTTCAGTGGTTTGTTTATTCAAGAAGTGAAAAGAACTTCCATTTTCGTACGCCGTCGAGTTTCTTCCTTGTAAGTAATTTAAGGCGTCACTGAGCTGAAACAGAGTGGTCCAAAGTTTCCTTCACCTTGGCAGACGACAGGGACAAGACGGGGCAAGTATCACATCAGTACACAACAATAAAAAAGGATGACAAAACTTTCACTTCACACCACTGGTCCCTCCATGCAAGAAGTCCGGGCAGATCCAGCCCATTGAGATTTCTATTGAAAACAATTTGACATGGAGAAGTTAAATATGGATGTTGAGGGAGAGAGAGAATAATGCTATTGCCCATAACCTAACTAAACAAACTTTCCACCAGACTTTCTCATTGATGTTTTTCGAAATTTAATACGGCTACAATTTAAAATAAGTTCCCAAATACGCAGAAAGTAAACTTTCATCAAAAACATTAATTCTTCGTTCATGCTGTACACCTAAACACATACTATACTCATTCGTCTCAAGAATTATTCCACTAAATTTAAAAAAAGGATGACTTGTGAAAATTATACAATGTAAATGCGCCCAAGAGGTATGAAATTATTATACGTGACGTTTTTGATTTTCATAACGCTCTGGTTCTGCTGAAATGCTCTCGCATTTATTACCCTCAGAAAAGAAATGGATTTGAGGCGGAAGACTTTGCATAAATATGAAATACGGAACAAGAACTGATATTTTAAGGTGGTTAAACAAGTAAAGCCTAAAGTACCGAAAAATATAATAAACCAAAGTGAAAGCATGATATTCAGCTTTTTCAAAAGATGTGTATATGTAAAGCGACACGTAGAATGTACGCACCATATCCATCAAAGAGGAAAAGGACATCTGGAAGGACACTAAATTATATTATATGGATAGTGAAGTGGTCTCATTTCCAGAGATGACTTGGTTGTCATGACATTTTTGCACGGGTGATATGCTCGAGTTACATTTTCCAAAGGCAAAAACTTAACATACAAAATGCATTTTGGCACCGGTCGGCAGTGCATATAATGAAAAGTAAAATGACAGTTGAATCAAATCAAGTAAATTTTGATTTGGTAATACATTTTAACGGCTGAAATGTGACCCAATGGCAATTTACCCCTTCGTCACCAAAGTCACAGCGAGTTGATTCGGGACGTCAGAGTTTATATGATGAACATGTGTTGAAGTCATAGTCGTAACAGTTAAATTTAAGTAGAGTGCTGTTAAGACAAAATGGGAAAGGTGAGAATCACGTTTTGAGGTTCCGAGCGTCAAACTCTTTGATGAGATTAAAATAAAGAAAGGTTGGACGGATAACAATATCGTGCATTTTTATGAATATTCAGCAGGCCAAGAGGATGTAGTAATGAAGTCAACAAATGACGAGGGCCCAACTCACAGCGTCGAGGAATCAGCGTCAGATCTGCAGTTCGGAAAAATTAATCCCCAGACCTGAAGCCTTTTCATATTTATTTCTGCTTTTCGAAAATTTTAATTTTTCTACAAGCTTTACAAAACACTTGTGGAAAAGTTTATGCAAATCGGATGAAACGGAGAATATTCGTAATGAGAGGATGAGATCATAGCGCGCAACGGTCACGACATACGGAAATTTAGATGATTTTTGGGTTCGGCGACCAATTT